ACGTGCATAGTTAAAGATACATCAGCGCTAGCTGAACAGGTACGTAACAGCAAGTATCTTTACTAATGATGTTTCTGGACCATATGACACCATAAAGAAGATCGGTCCCTAAATGTGAAGACTGGTTGACTATGGTTAGATCGATACAGTTCGGCAACAGAAATCTTGCCGCGTATGAGTGATGTCTATAACGGACGAAATTTCAACGATGACCTTGGCTGACAACTCTTCCGCCACGGGCACTCCGGTAAACGTCGTTGCCAGCACGTGTTAATGGTGACCATCGCCAGTGGATATAACTTTCTTCTTTACCTCACTAGTGTGATGACGAAGGTTTGTAATCTCGTCAACTCTGCCACAGATGCGAGTATCCTTCCGACAATCACAAAGGGTAGCGTACGCTGTCCAGTTTTCAACCTACAAGCGGAAAGTGAAAAATGGATCGCCACTCACAAAAAGGATAAGTTCACTAAAATGTGGGTTTACATAAACTCACTCACTGGATTTTGTTGTGTCTATCATTGGCATGCATATGCCGTAACATAATACTCTATTTATCGACCCAAGCAAACAGAGGTTAGTTAGTTAGTTCTTTCAATTAATACTTGAGCGGAATCCGACAATGTAACAGGGTCGGCCACAAGTACGGTGTGTAACCAAAAGTGTTGCGCACCTCATCATAACTACGGGATCAGTGTTATTCTCAGAATCACGGCAACTAGCTCCTAAAAAGCTAAGACTTTCCGAAAAAGAATTCAACTACATGATAGATTTATAGATTATATAACCATCAGGTAGACTCTGAGCTTTGCCGCTGCATTTTTAAAAAAAGACAGCTGTGACTGACATGTAGCGGATGATTATTGAGAAACCAATGTGAAAATCACATTAGATTCTTACCCTATGCTTCACAATCATGTCTTCACAGCTAGCTCTAAAGTTACAACTGCCTTTCGAAAATTATTATGGTTGCAAAAGACATTCCCGAAGCGGCTATCATCCTTTCGGATTATAGCGATTCGTATGATATACTTCGCGGGATAACAAATGGTAATCCCGAAACTCTATGTATCGAATAAGAAGGCGATTCTAGAGAAAGTAGCATATTTGATTCTGGCCTCATGATATCGAAATAATATCGAGGTAAGAGGGCATACAAACGGCTAGCGTCTACGCAGGGGACGTGCAAAGAGGAGAATGGGAATAACACGCTTGGTGTGAGAGAGATAGTCTTTACTACTGATAAACAAGAAGTGTACAATATAACAGTTATTGTCAGAATTAAGTTGAATAATAAATATTTATATTTCAGCAATTGTGTTTTCTTCGTAAAAGTAAATCACTACAGGATTCTATGAACTTTAGAGTACGAATAAACGACGCTCGGACTTGTTGTAGATTCTTTAGTGATATCTTCATAGGTCTCGACTTTGTGCATACCTGTGTTGGTGACCTTCCGATGAGGAGACCGGACAGAGTACCTCAGATGCAGCAAATAAACTATGTTTTTCAACGGCTTCAAGAACATGGCATCACTACCAAATTACAGAAATCCCAAATCGACGCTGATTCTCTCTACTTTCTTGAGCATACTATTGATGCTCAGGGTATTCCACCTATATAAAATAAAGTTGCTGTCATTCTTGATTATTTAGAAGCGACCACAACCAAGCAACTAAGCACCTTTAAAGGATCCACAAGTTTCTTCCGAGGGTGTCTGCCACATTGCAGGTCCCACATAAGATTCTTAATCAACCAACTATGTAATCATTAATTTGGACGAAACTGTGAAGAAAGCACTTCCCATAGTCAAAAAACGCATCGCCAAGTCAGCTATACTGGCACACCTCGAAACTGAAGCACCCATCAGTATCGCAGTCAGCTCATGTGACTCAGATTTCTGAGTTTTAGAACAGTGGGTTAACAATATTTAGCAACCCCTATTGCTTTTCAGGAAACTGAATCAAGATAAAGTCCTTTTGGTAGGAACCCTCTATCTGTGTATCGTGCTGTATGACATTTTCAGTCCTATTTGGAAGGCTGAAAATTTGTTCTTTTCACAGATCATAAGACTTTAACCTTTCCTCTTAGCTCTTCTTCAGACAAGTACTCTCCTTTACAATTAGACCACATCTTGCAGTTTTTTTTCATATATATAACATATTTTTGAGCAGACAGCGTATCTGTAGACGCATTGTCTCGTGTGACCAGCCTGAACAGTTTTCGAGGAAGCGATCGTCTTATTCTCGCTTGGATTCAAAAAGAATATACAGATTTTCAGCATGAGTAATTATTGACAACATTGAAACTACACACAAACAGATGGAAAAAGATTAGAAAACTACAATTTATGGTGCATCTACGTTTAAGGGTCGTGCAGTCGCGCCGAAATCTTGAAGCTGCAATGCATTCAATGTAAATTTATTTCGACAGTGGCCGTCCCAATTGTTTCCAATAGAAACACTCCTGTACGCTTTTCCTAGTTCCGGGTCCCAACCAACTCAAAAAAGGACAAAATTCTAGGAGAAAACGTCTCTGTATTATTAGAAAATGGAAATACAAAGCCTTACGGAATTTGTGTTTCTTCCAGGGTTAAGTTACTCCGCAGAGTATCCAACACAATAACCAATAAGTGAAGCTAAGTCCAGCAGCCACTGCGTCCGTCCGAAAATGTGGCGGTAGCCATATTATATCAGATTTAAACAATATATGTACAGTTCAGAAGCAAACCCAAAAACTTCAATATAAGTACAAATATAGAAAGAATAACAATATACAATGATAAAATCTCAAATTGGAATCAAATAAAATACCAAAAATGTCAAGAGAAAAAGTCCATCATGTCATAGCAAAAATATGTAAACATGGAGGGATTTTCCAAAAAACAAAACATTCAAAAAGAATTCTACATTCAATACGTTGTACAAAATTTCTCGTCCATACGTTCAAGCTACCATCAAGCTGATAGCAGAACGATTATGTTGGCCAGAAATGAACAAAGACATGAGGAGATGGTTCATCTCGTGCGAAGGCTACCAAAAATCTAGGATGACTATGCATACAAGTGTAACTTAAAATCGTCATGACTTGTGACGCTCGCTTCAGCCACACTCATCTGGGTTTGATGGGCTTATTAGAAAATCTATATTGACGTTTTTATCTCTTGACGCATGTGGACGAATAGACACGATTGAGATTCAAAGATATCATTTTTGGAACGGTGGTTTGCGAACTTCGTCTAACAGTGGTTAGTGAGATTCTAAAGGCGAAGACATATCATGTATCAGGTAGAGGTGGATAGAGATAGGTGGACTCAACACCGGAACTAGCAACGGAGGCGGTTAGCCTCAGATTGTTCGTCGGCGAGAGAATATTCTAATGGACACCTTCAACTCGTCCTCATTCCTAATGAATGTAGAGACCCAGTAATAACTGAACCTTAGCGCCAGAAAATCACATTAACAACAGTGACAAAGGATCAAGGTGCAAATGAATACTAGGAATATACGCTAATTGGGGATGCTAGATCCACAGAAATCTTTTGACAAATTTCTCGGAATTATAATTTATGCATGGAAATTTGAGTTTTTAGTTTTTAAGTTAAAACCGTCTGTCATTACACTCAGTTTATCTTTCTCACCGAGGAAGTCCCTTAAAATCATGAGTTCGTTAACGATTTTAGTACGCTATTATGTGACCCTTCAATAATGCTTTTGTACCTAGTATATTACGCCTGAATTGAGCCCCTGTTGTTTGTCCGTTCTGGGCTGCCTGTGGACTGTGTATTCTTCCTGCTGACTCAGGAAATTTTCCTCTGATTATCTGATCTGAGGTGCAGACAAAAAGCTTAACTTGTCCTATTAGTGTGGATATCTGTAGATTCTGATTGCTGACATCGGGTCGTATCCCAAATATTGAAAGCATGGCAAAAACATGCTGAGGTAAAGAAAACCTTGATAAACTGTTTCGAAAAATGGGGTTTCCATTCGACTTGGGTTGATATGTACATAATTTTAGTCTCAGTAAGATTGTGTTGAAAGCTTTATCATATTTATGATATTGAGGAAATGGTTATTAAAATAGGCGTTGAAATTCGTTTTGTAAACCTTTGTACCCTAAAGTCGGAATTAGTGACTTTTTCAAAAGATGAAGTCGACTAGGACGTAAAGTTCTGCAAGTCCATCACCATATAGCAGAACACCGTATGCATTGATTGAACAGAGATCAGATCAAAGTGGTTGTCAGTTCTGTTTTCGCGCACTTGGTGAACACAGGGCACGTCGAATAGACATTAAAAAAAAACTTTTAAGGTTATACATCCTAATCCATCAAGTTTACTAAATGTTCTACAACTTCAGCTGTTGCATATATTTGTGGCTACGGGAATTCATATTGATAAACTAAACCTATTCACCCAAAGGAAGGTTTTACAAACAGCCTGTTTACCATGACCATCAATATACGGCATGTTGTAGATGAACTTGAACATATCAAATTATTTCAAAAAATATTCAGACAACTTCTCAATTTTTCTTACTTCTATTGTTCTGCATATGTTCTTGACATTAACTTAGCTACTATAAAGCTGATATTTTATCAAAATATATTATTAATTCTCGTTTTGAAATGCTATGTAATCTACTAAATATGTAAAAGAAATTTTTAAATCCTACAAATAATTACTTTGGTTATTTATTTTGTCTTTCTTTCAACCACTTAGTTAATCGCTTGACATTAGTTTATAATCACGATGAAATCATATAAATACACTGTTACATTGTTGTACGATTAGTATTACATTACTATTGCAAATTATATATACATTATTCTGCATTGGAAACTAATCAACAGAAAGTTTCTCTGATCCTTTAGGCTTTTCAGCAAATGTCTTAGGGGAATTTTTATTGTGTTGAAATGTTTAGCTGTCAAACTAGTCACAATCAGTTTATGGACTGTATTGGAAATGATGCAAATGAAATTTGTAAAATACTGTGTAAGTCTGGTATTACTGCAGACGAAGCAACACTTATAAATTGCATTTTTAAAGCATCTTTCTGATAATGTAAATCTTTTAGTTTTACAGGGAAAAATTGAAGGATCAATAAAATCTGGACCCCTGTAGCCACATAGAACAATTAATAGTCGGGATTAAAAAATTTCCTATAAGCCTACTCTATTGGTGATGAAAACAAAAGCTACAGTTACTTATGATTTTATAAAACAGATAATAATTTGGAGCACAACTAGGTTCATTTCCTTCAACGTGGATAATGTATTCATACTGAAAGATAAACTGGAGCTATCTAGACCCGGGAATATAAGGGAATTTATAAAATCTGTATCTGCTAGCGATCTTAATCAATAGTTAGATTCGTTGTTTCTCATTCAAATATTCTTTTTAAAACCCTTGTGAAATATTTGTAATTCATTTATGATGAAATGAATTAATATGATTTAGGTCTTACAACAAAACTCTTTTAGATTGACATACTCATCCAAACATAGAGGAAGATTGAAAGCGTGTCGAATAATTTCCTCATTCTAATCCCACAAAGTACCTGACATTAACTGGAATAATCACCAGTATACATTCTCATTTGGGCATGAACGTGGACATGTATGTTTTTGATTTTTACATATTGTTTCATTGGTTTGAAATGTGTTAAATCGAAAATCTGTGACATCAATTCCTAGTTTCCTCTTACTGATCTGCGCTTGATTTGTTGAGCTGTTTTGCTTAATATTAGGCATTGAAAACCTGAATTTCTTGTTTACCTTTTGAATATTTTACGCAAGAAATCAACCTGGTAATATATATTAGGATTTAGCCTTAGAAAATATACGAAGTTAACCGGGATTGATAACAACAATCGGTGTTTCAAATATTCTTTTTACAGTCTCATGATAAACAGAAATTATCGAAAAAATATGTTAAGAATTCTGAATGAATTTTTAAATAAATGCGAGTTAAGTTCAAAATAGATAATTAATTTGTAACGGAAATACAGCACAATTTGATCATCGGGATATCTACTGAAGAAAATCCCGTTTTAATAATTTAAACTATGAATTAAATGAAGTCAGTAGTCTTCAAGTTACATGGGGCTAGAATTTCACCGAATTAAATTCCATTAGTAACAAGTTTACTTTGTGCAATAGCTAGGTTGCAGAGTAGTAGCCTATTTATAATTGCTTATCCACAGGAACTCTGAAGATTATATTCAAATTATTAAGGTACTGTATAAACTGTATAATGATATAAAAACACTGATATCGTTTGATACAAAATTCTGACTTCCGAACATCTCAGTAAACATGAAAATTGAAATGCTTCATAAACTGATTTGTTTACACTTGTCTAAGTGTATGCACTTAAAATATTTCATTGATCTAATTTATTAATAATTGAGTCAAACAACAATGAAGAGCCCGATTTAACCTGTACGTGTTGATTCATTCACAACAAACACACAGGTTTATAAAATAAAACGAGCAATTAATGATACAAATTTTATGTAATTTTTTAATCGATAATCTATCGAACATTGATGGAAATATGCATGAAGAAATTCATTATTCAGGTACAAAAACAAATTTATAAGGTAATAAGATAGTGTAATAATAATAATAATAATGATAATAATAATAGTATATAACTAATATGAAAAGTACTGAGATCATACAAAAATATACTTTGAAAAAAAGTTTTTAAAAAAAAGAAGAAAAGAAAACTAGATTATATTTAGAATTATCTGTAGCTAGTTGTTAATTGTTTTGTGAATGATGTTGTTTTAAAAGACTTTTAGCAATAAATGATATTGGATCAGATGGTCTTTTATCAGCAACTTCAAACATTGCGTTCTTCATCATTTCAGCTGAATAAAATTCAGGAAAAAAACAAAACAGTTAAAAATGCTTATTGAAATATTTTTAACAGAGAATAATAGTATTTAGATAAGAAAATACAAATATTTGATGATCTATCTATCTATGAAAAGAAAACATAGTAAGGAATTCAATCTATTCTTTTATGATTGAAGATAATAATGAGAATAGAAATGAACATTCTACACGGTATCAAACTTAGAACCCGCAAGTCTTGTGGAGCGTACGATAAATTTAGACTAGTGAATCAGAAGCTATTAATTTAAGTTTCATCATAATTCAGTCTTATGATATTGCTAAAACTTTGATCTCAGCGCTAAAGCAATAAGAAAAAAATTTTATTCAAACTAACAGGTATCAATTAGTAGATGTATTTAGAATTAGTTTCGGATACAATGGCAGGATTTTATAGAAACAATAGGGATCACGAGGGTCAACAAGAAGTAAATCAAAAATGGGAAAAATAATAACAATCGTCTTGAAATGAACTTGTGTGAAGAAAATGGGAGAAAAACGCATAAAATCATGAATTAACAGTGGGAGAACAAAGCACAAATGTACTCTACCAATTGCAATCGATTCTAAGTGATGCTACATTGACTACAACAATTACTGATGATTGTCTGATGCGTTAAAATCGAAAAATTGATTGTTCCCGACAAGGCTCATACCAACAATAATTATGTAAAAGAGCAAGCACTTAATATTCAGTTGTTGAATCAATTCTTTAATACTAATCCTTAAGATACAGAACCACTCATAACTGTAAATTCGTCATCGTTATGATTCATGAGTATTTTGACCAATACAACGTTCATATATTAGCTACAGGTGAAAATGACTGTTTAACATGGAATCAGCCTATGCATACATTATCTTGCAATATGAAAACTATAATCTCACAGGTACTTGTGACAAATATTGATTTAGACAGTTCATTGTCAAGATTAGAAAGGTATGATGTCATTGTGCATAATGCTTCGAACAGTCTGACTACAAATACTTGTTTAGGCATTTTTATAATAATAAGGAAGGTAAATTTAATAAGTTGTCATATATACATACAGAGTGATAATTTAAAGCATAGGAGAGTAATTATTGAAAGAACAGGACACCATCATATTCATGGAATTAAGACGAAATAACAGAGCACAACTGGAGCATTGCCATGGAATCCTGAGGGCCAAAAGGGAAGAGGTAGACCAGGAAACACATTGCGCCAAGAATTAGATGCAGACATGAAAAGAATGAATAGCGGTTGGAAAAAGCTATAAACAAGAGCCTAGGACAGAGTTGGTTGGAGAATCCTGGTTGTCGGCCTATATTACCATGAAGGTTAACAGATATAAATAAGTAAGTATGTAGGTAACTAAGCAACAGAGTATATACAGGGCAGGAACTAATCGCTTTTACACTGTCTTATGATCAGAATTTCACAGACCTAAGAATGAAGTCCTGAAAATTTCCGAAAAAAGTTTTAAATGTTGCTGCTACTTCTTTGGAAAGATGAACACAATAACTTACTTAGCCCTGATTCTTCAAAATAGTCCAACATTTTCATCTTTTTCTCATCTTCGGTCAAATTATAAAGTGAACTATCTATCCAGCCTTCTTCTCCAATAGGTTCTGTTTATATGAACGAAAAGATCAGAGGGAAGATATCAGTGACAACGATGATGCAAAAAATTCATTGTTTCATATTCAAAGTGTAATTGACAAACGACATTATATGAAAATAACAGGTCTTTGATTCTGGGTTGTAACAACAATTGATCCCTATTGTATTAGAGATAAATATAACTTATCAACTCTGTTGTTAGGTGTGATGTACACTGAATATGAGTTGTAGTATCAATATATGCATTTATTTGGATGCAGATATACCAAAAACATGTCAAAAATGGAAATTCATTAATAGTCATTATGTAATTTAACTTAGAGTGCGAGAATAAAGTTCGATAGATTAATGTACGTTAATAGAAAAATATAATTTTCAATCGAGTTACAAGAAAACTTTTAAATCAGAATTACGCTTACATGGATTATAATCACAGAAATATCAGAGATTTTATGACTTTACTAAAGAATTCAAAATAAACGTAACCTTGAATAAATAGTGCTTCCAGGTTACTAATGGTGCTCTAACATTGATCGATTCATGGTTTCAAAAAGTTGTTCAACAATCTCCACAACCCCATAATGTAAATAGTTTTCGTTTAAACGTCAATTTATTTTTGCTTCGTTATCTTAATAACAGATAGTGTTTAATAGGAAAACCAGACAAGTTTAGTTTCAACCACAATCTGCATTTAAATGATTTTAATTCCAAAGCCAGTCTGCCACAAAAGATTTACGTTTGATGTAGACAAAAAAGAGACAGTATGTTTATGATGTCAGTACGATCATGTAAGATGTGACTTTCGATATGACAATTAAGTAAGTCATGTTACTGTTTATACTGCTAATGTGAGATTTTTATTTATTCTGAGGACCACGTTTTAAAGAAATGGTTTCTTCTTTCACTGTAACCAGACATATAGACGATTAAAAATATAAATGTTCCGTATACTGTGATTGGTATCTGTTAACCCAACAGATATGAGGAAAATGAAATTAATTTTCATGTTATTGTATTTAAGTTATATCACCAAAATGTAAATATCAAGTCATTATAATTGTGATGAAGTAATGTATTGTAAAGATATAAAATGAAAAAGTAATCAGTTTAGTGAGTTTTGCTAATAATTAAAAGGTAATATTTATCACAAACCATTATTGGGTAAATAATCACAGTGAAATCAAAGAGTAATGGACAGTAATCACACCACTCACTTTCATACAACTAACTTAGTAGCTTAGAGGTTTCATGATTACTGTGGAACTTGAAGGCTCTCGGTTAGTATTCGTAAAAGAGTTCGAACTAGAATGGAATGCACACTTAGTGAAAAATAGTTTGTCATAGTTTAACAAATGATGTCACTTTGAGAAGTTAAAAATTACTTTCAAACTAAATAGTTTGCGGAAATTCAATTTTGCTTACCATCTAACTGATCTTCCGTATTCACCGACTCCAATAATCCTAAATAATATTCTCCATCATGATGTAGTCCTAAATCAAATCCTCTAATATATTCATTTGGTGTAACTGTAATCAAAGTTTTCGTATCTCTAGATAACCATAACATATAAGGCTCATTTTCAAACATATATTCTGTTACATGATTCAACCGTGTATCGTTCATTATGTTTTTTAAGGATGATGATGAAAATGATGATATTTCTGTTTGTGTTGTTGATACTTCATAGGCAATTAAACATCTAGCTGGTGATGCACCATAATCGGTTTCTGAATCGTCAGAATCATAACTTTCAGATGACGATTCATCAGCTAAATCCAAATGAATTTTCTGTTCAGGATGATGTCTTTTACCAATCAATAACTTTCCATCAGCTGCTAACACACTTGACTGGATAAATATATTTTCTTCATTTGCTGATTTACTAGCAATAAGATCTCCCAATACTTTATCTGTTGCTTTTTTCCCATCTTGTTCATTGTTTAAAAAGTTAATTGTCTCGTCACTACTACCAGCTGTGCTTTCAGCTGACTGATTAAAATGACCAGAATTCATTTTCTGTAGAAATTTATCAATTTCATTACTTTCTGATTCAGATCTTCGATGTCCAGTTACAATATTATATATATGCAGTCGATAATTAATAGCTGTCATACCATCTGAGAATAATATTAAATTCGGACCATAATCAAGTAGAATTGTGTGTAAAACCTGTGGATAATTAACGTTATCCTCATATGCAACCCTATCTACATCTGGATACCCCAAGTCTACAATCATAATAACGCCTAACCAAACAACTATTCTTCCATCACACCGAGTCACAGGATATAGCGTTTTATGCGATTCATTCAAACCAATAATTATATGGTTAGGATGATTCGGACGATATGTTAATAGATTCAAAGTAATTGTCTGTAAATCACGTTTGTCTAATAAAATTCCACCAGCTGTTTTAATTTGTTGATAAGCTTGAGTTAAATTGATTGCTCGAGGTTGTTCACCCCATAAACTTTTAAATTCATAGGTGTTATTGTCAATGTCAACTGTAGATATTAAAACTTTAACTAATAGAGAATGAGTTGTTTCGTCATCAAAAGATGGTTTTATCAGTGTTAGCATGCCATATTTCGATTGAATTAAACCAAAACTACTGATTAGACCGTTTGATGTAGGCACATAAAGATTAGGTAGATAATCTTTCATATGAATAGGATCTAGATAAGTGTAACTGTCTAACAGTTTATTGTGATTAAATATTGTCAATGAATTAATTTTTGTTACTGTTTTATGAAGAAATGCTGAAATGCCATTAGGTTGATTATTAAGGAACTTATCACCATTACTCATAGCCTTAATATCAGTTATGCTAGTAGCCCAGTCTATGAGTTGTTGCGTTGTTAAAAAGGTATCTATTGATTTGGCATTGACTTCATTATCAGACCAGGAATAAATTGGATTGGTGGAATCTTCATCAAGATCATATAATATCAAACTATCCACATTAGTTCGTTCTTCTTTTCTATGAGCTACTAAAACAAGTGTTGATAAACCATCTTCATAAACATATTCGATAGACATATTAGCTGACCGATAGACCAATGGACCACCAGTTGCAATTTCTTCAATATTCAAATTTGTGTTATGATTATCGTCTGCATAAAACAGTTGACTACCCATCACAGCTAACTGCTTATCTGGTTTACGTAGTGATTTGACATTGAATATCTTACACATGATGAACATTGCTTGATCGGGTGATTCGCTGTATTGGGGTGTTGTTGTATCGGGAAAATGACATATGACAAGTACAGAACCAGTCATTGATGAATTCGCTGTTCCTTTCATTGAAGATGTTGTGGTCATTGCAAAGTCTGTATCCAGACTAGGTACTGACAAACCTGAAAGAATGCCTTCTGCGCAACCTTGTGCTATAATTTTTAATATATGTCCGGTCATAGTGCTCCAAACTAGTAGAAAACATTCTCTCCCAGTAGTGAACAATAGGTCATTCTCATGACTAAATATGGCTGAGACACCTTTCCCAAATGAGAATGTGTAACTGAAATGTAATAAAATTCCAGTTTATAAAGTGATCATTATTGTATTTTAAAAAAAGACATACGGAAGAAACCTTGTGATGAAATCATTTTGTATTTCTTGTTTAATCACAAGCTACAATCACTGTAAACTTAAATTATACGCAGAATAGAATATAAAGAAATCTACTGTAGGTCAAACAAAACAAAGAAGTAGACTGCCTGGTCAGATTAGACAGGAAAAGATAAGCAAAGACGGATGTGATTTTAAAATTATTAATACATTATGAATGAAAGCAATATCGATTTCTTTTCATGGGTTGTTTGATTTTGTGTAGTCATCATTTCCAAGTAGAGAAGCAGGTAATCTAATTATCTAAATCCATCAAAAATGCGGTGCTTTATGCCATATAAACAGTTCCATGGAAAATTACGGTAAATATGACTAATACAACACCAGAATCAAGAAATTGTTATTGTAACAACTTTTCAAACTGTCCTGAGTCTGGGTCACCCGACCTAGACGTATCAGTCAACCAGTTAATGGTAGACAAGTTACTTGACCTCATCTTTCAAAAGTACAAAGTATGAGGTTAAAATAAATACGGGTTTTTGACACGTGGTTAAAAGTCATCCAAGGTCATTAATACAAGTCGAGGTCAGTATTTTTATTTCTGACCCCCTATTCTGTGTACCGACCATCTGACCTTGACCTCCGTTCTATTTTTTAATCAATACGTGATGGTTGCCTGAATTGATCGTCATACGTCAAATACTCCTAATTTTAGATTTTGAAACTAACGAAAAAATTCACCAGCCTATTGAGAAAGTGAATTGAAAATTTTCAGTCCGAATGGTTTATTATATTCTCGTCTCAATAACCATCTTATAAAGGCCATATGACAGCGATTGTTGACAAAAGCCTGGTGACGATCTAATTGGAAACAATATTGTCCACTTATATGTACTGCACAAAGATAACTTGGTCTGAATGGATTCGAACACGAAGAACTCAAACACATTTGGATAAGAAGTATACTCTTCTGCTCTCCAGTATTTGGTCTTTTAATGCTGCCAATAGTCTGGAGTGTTCTGTATACGCTAAATTTTAGCAACGTAATAATCAATCGTTTAATTTTCTTCGAATCTTTTCATCATTATTTGAATGCATGAAATTGATTGGATATAACAAAATTTTTTATCCCCCTATCGATTTTGTGACTGAAGTAATATCTCAGTTTTGGGCGTGCTAGATGGTTTTAAAGCACTACTGAAACATGATTTTACTCACCAACTATCTTTAAACGTGAAAATTAATTAAATGCAGTAATTAGTACTTACTTTAACATTTCTTTTGTTAAATTCACTTCATCATTACTTAAATTATCTTGTTGAACATTAAATGGTAGTTGTAAATTAATATAAGTTTCATATCTGTTATCCCATATCACACCAAAATCTTCAGCAGTTTTACGACGTACATTAAATAAATAAGCGACTAAATGATCAGAATAACTTAAATGTGTTGAACAATTAAGAAATCGATTTGCTTGAATTACATGTAAACTAATTGTATTCTTTAAACAGCCTTCATATAAAGTGAGCCCATGAAAATTTATACCACACACAGTTGAACCATTTAAAAATGATGAATTTCTCTCATTTGAATTGTCCGCTTTGATTTGAGTAATTTCATAAAATTTCAACTCAGATTCATAATTAGTTGTTGTAAAACAAAAACATATGATAAAATTTGATTGTAGTTTCACAGTACTATGAATAGTTAAACCATTTGGAATAGATATAAATACTACACTGTGTTCTTTGGTATCAATTAAAAATGCACCGAAATCAGTTAAAGTGAAACTAATGATATTTCTTAAATTCGAATGATAAAATGAATGACTTTCAATAGTATAACCATCAATAACCATTTGTTTTTTTGGTAGATAACCTAAATAAAAAGTTGAATCAACCAATGATCCAATCCATTGATTAGTTAATAATATAAGTGAAGACATGCTGAATATATCAGACCATTTCTCATCTAATGTAGATAAATTCGTCACACGACCAGAGAAGTAATCAATTTTTGTAATTGATATTAAACGATTATCTTTATATTTTATATCCTCATAATGGTTGTTAGTAGTATTGTTAAGTTCTGGTGATTTATTGACTGGTAATGCACATATTGATATAGGATCTGGAGCAGTATGTGAAGCTAATAAAAATTTCATTGAAAATAAATTGACTTCAGGTAAACTTATAGTTTTTACTAAGTTACCATCTAAATCATACCAACTGACTGATTTACCATTTAAAGCAACTGCTAAAATTAAATTATTGGACATTAAACGTCCGATACCCAGTCCAATATCAAAGGTTGTATGCAGTAAACCACTACCGGAATCAAAGCATGTTGTACGTGGCAGTAAAGCGCATTGTTTGCAACCAAGATATCTTGATTGAATTAAAAGTTTATCTAATAAATTCCTGTAAATATTTATAGGTGTTTCTGTTTCAGCCACTCGACGTTTATGTTCTAATTCGCGTTTCGAATTTAACATAGACACACTACGACGTGATCCAAAGGGCACATATGTTGATAAACGCTTACGCGTACGGTGTAAATATGATGGAGGTTGATAAATTTTGGTTAGACGTCCTAAAATATCAATGGGTAAACTAGATGGTTGATAGTCCAAACTGAGAGCAGCAATACGAATACAATTGTATACTTTGAAAGCTTCTGGTGGAGGAGGTCTTAAATGAGCAGATGGTTGCATTTCGGTATTATAAACTACAGAAAAGTTACTAGCATTGGTTGTAGTATCCGAAGTAGATAATAATGATGATTGATTGATGAAAAGTGCGGAATTCAATCCACCTAGTTTTGCTCGAATATCTTTTGCAGACAATCGACCTGGTTGAGTACATGAAGAAAGTAGTTGTTCCATTTGAAATGTTCGATATGCTTGTATTGGAAGCTGTAGATCAATTAGTAACTGGGACCTATTTTTAAATAGAAAACGAATATATAATAACTTACTTTCGAAAAAACCAATGTAATTCTAATTAATTTAAATTCAGGTAATAATGCTATTTTCAAAAATGAATATATCATGAAATTGCCTGTGGTCGTTTTAAGTGTTAAACAGTTAGTTTTATATAGATTCATGCAATCAAATTCGAGAAATCTGTATTCTATTCATCCTGAGATTATCTGTGGACAAAACTGAGGAGTCTCAAACTAGGATAAAGCAACTTTAATCAATGGTGGTTCCCTAGTTCATATTAATTCCTGACAAAAATCAACTGAAACTTGAACTAATCTCGACAAAACCCATTAATTATAAAATGGAATAGTTCTTACCTAGAAGTACCACGTAATTTATTGTATAAAAATTCATAATTAAACATTATCTCGGTGTAAAATTCTTCGAATCGACCTGAGTGACACAAATGCCATGGCAGTTCGTTTAACTTTCTTAAATTTAATAGTAATTTCTTTTTACCGCTTATTTGAGATTCCTCGAATACATACGGTTGTGCTGGTACCATTCTATCTTCATTACTTGATGGTGGCAGTTTCTGAAGTGAAAAAAAAACAATCATTTAAAATAACAAAAGATTATCTAGTATGACAATAATTGTCGCTTATTCTCCACGAAAAATAAATTTATATCTCAATAATGTGACTTGCAAAATCCAAACTGACACGTATTTTTGATAATATCATTTATGAAATATTGAATAGTCATTTAGTAATTTAGCTTACAGCTAAACTGATTACAGATTGATAGACCGATTCGCCAGTTTCATTTTGTTTAACTAGCTAGTAAGGCTAGCTCGTACAAATTAAAAATGTAGCTAAAAGCAGCATACGTGAATATTATTCATGTGATAAGTAAATTTTAAGTGAGTCATAAAAATTGTTTTTGTCTAAATAAGTGAGTGATCCTTATTCAATACTTTGATATTATCAGCATTTTAGAAGCCAGTCATTAATTTTCATTTGAATAAAGCATGAAACCGATTTATAGTTTGAGTGATGATTAGTTGAGAAATAGATCAAAAGTGAGGAGCGCTAAATAATTGTACAATTTTTTATTGAACACTTTTTAATTACATTCCCTTATGCAGTTATGATTCAATAGGCAAGAAAATCACAGTTAGCTCTAACAGGTTGTTTGATTAATCTCAAGAAATATGTAAATTAAGATGATTATAATTAGTTTTTAATGGTAAATTATTCGTCAATATTTTCAACTAGTTTGATTTCACTAGTCTGAACGTAAGATTAGGACTTGGCAAATTCCTTACGTGAAAATTAACCAAACGATGAAGGATGCAAACCAAAACTAGTAGAATTATTGCAAATTTTCCGTAAACTAATCCATTGAGTATGCCCACAAAATTGAATTCAGTACTTGAATATGATAGTTATTAACTAATTGCACTGAAGTATTACAAACTGTCTCATTACCAAGTAAAGCTGGTTCTAATACCTACTATTGATAAAACTTTAGTTATCATATTTTATGATTTTCTTACTACTATCAGTACACCTGTCTTCCTACTATCCACTTGTACTTTTGCCTATCATGTGTAGTGACGTAATCTTTTTCATTTCATTGTGATTATCACTCAAATTGCCTTGATTGGTTTAACATTTTCATATAGATATTCATGTATATTAGGGTAAAGCCTGATGATGATCTAATCGAAAACAATATTGTTCGCTTATATGTGTTGTTCGAATACCATCATCATACTAAAATATATTTATTTACTTGGTTTTATGTCCATTTAAAACAATCCAGTCAAGAAACGTTTCTTGTTAACTACGTCACTTACTCAAATATAAAATTAATAGTCTGTCGAGGAGGACAATCACATTATATCTATATGTCATAGAAAGTTACTTAGTAATTGAAAATTGAATCGAATTTGTGACGTATGATTGTTTACTTGACTAGTATGAGAAGTGTAAAAAAACAGTTAACAAAAAGTGATAATAACGTATGATTAAAATTAAGAAGGATAGAAACATTAGAAAGATATAATAACATAAAATTAAGTGTTAGTACCATAAAAGAAGGTTTTTTGCACACAGAATTCAAGTTTGGGAAAATGGGTTGATAGCACCTTTGCAGTGCGAAAATTATTAACTGGCACTCCTCTCAAACCAAATCGTCTGAATATAGAGATGATTTCCAAAGGCTTATCAGGTGGATTCATATGACTTTCTAATATTGAACTGTTGGTTGAAATTCACCTTTCGAAAGCTGTTCAAGATAATGTTTGGAGAAGCGTTTAAAAAATGGTTGTTTTGTGTGGTCTTCTTAACGTGCCTCAGGAGAAGCCAACTTATAAACACACATTGATGTCGTTCAGTGTGAGTGTTCATCCTTAACACATCTATCAATGATGATGCGTCAGGAAAGGATAAAGCAAAGCTTGGTAGCATAAGAAGTTGTCTCCAAAGATTTCGTTAAAAAATCCTTCGAAATCTCCTTAGCTGTATCTCCTTTCTGAGAAACTGCATGAGCACATATAGATGGTGTTTTTCGAAGTCTAACAAGTTTTACTTTGAAAGTGAGTCACATAAATAAACTACCAGTTTGAGCATATCAATAATATAATTATTTTCTCAAATTCAGTGAGCATTTATAACAAAAAATCATGGTAAATCAGTTGTTGCTTCTTCAGATTTCTAATTTAATGAATAAATGCTGCATGTTGTTATTTAGACAATGACTCATATTAGAATAAAAGGTTTTTTGAAGTTCCTAAGATCGAACAACGTGTTTTGTCCTAATTACTGAAAAAATTTAAAAAATAACTTGCTAACTTACTGCCTTACGAAATATCCAAAATTTTATCGATACATTCATGTCAAAGAAAGAAGGACAACTGGTAGGCGCTTCCATACTGTATATTTGTGAAGAATAAGGAATTATCGCCACTTAATAAATAATACAAAAACTAAACTACCGTCCATTTAACTTGTGAGTGTTCAAAAACATATATATCGGAAGCAGTAAAATTTTTTTAGCAGGCACTCCTATTCATGTGTATTTTGTATTAATCGTCTCGTGTTTCTTCATAGGACAAAGGAGGATGACAATACATCAATAGCTGTCCTGATTCCATTTAAGATTCTCAGTAATTACATTGTCGGCAGGTTTTAAATCTTTTATAAAAGTGCACAAGTTATCGCAGTCATTACACATAATTAATGAGCTAAATCAAATGTAAAACAGGAATATTCATGTCGATAAATGCACATTGGGAAAACATTTGAGTCAAAAGTTTGAACGAATTGCTAGGAAACAGTTGATTTGCAGTTGTGTTTGTCATGTCTCACTGAGAAACTACATCAGGACGACCTTCAAAAATCAAATGCTGATTCGTTCGAATTAGTAACTCGAAACTATACAATGAGTTATTTGGACCTCTGGTAAAGTAGTGACAAACATCTAAATCAACATTAGTTTTTGTTATCCTGTGTATTTATCAAAATGAGTGAATTATATATAAAAAATTTTCTGCGATATAGTGGTCTCAATAACTGTAGTCAAGTAGTTTAAAGATTCTATATATTAATTTCAAATTCCGATATTCATAGGGATTATTTCAGATACTTTCAAACATTATTGACATATTTACTCGCAGTAAATTAACTTACCAATTTAGCTGCAAGATACTTTGGATAATGAAATGTTTTTTTCACTCCTGCCCATTTACCTAAAAAGTAGTCTGCAATGTTTGAATGAATTTTTCGTCTATGATTAATGTCAGACAAATAATAATCTTGTGCGGCTTCAATAAACTGACGATGATACCTAAATGACAGATAAAATATAATTCATAAATAATTTTATTCATTTAAATAAAATCAAACATTTTAATTGTTTATTTGAGTAATGGCAAGTTTAGCCTGACTTACTAGTCTGTCATACAAAAGAATCTACTAGAAACACTTAGACAAAAATAACCAATGCATGTGAATGTTCCACCACTAATCAGAGTTGCTTAGAAAATCCAGATGTCAATATTAAAACCATCTGCTTAGCTTGACGAAGAGAAATTATGTACAAAGTTTATTACTGTGAATGGAATCAAAGAGATGGTAATCAAATAACGGAGTCTTATTTTCCGGAATCATTAATCAATACTTTTACGAAAAAGTAATAGGGGCTTTGGGATACACTTTAACTAATGCACTAATATCTATAGTTTACTTGTTTTACTAATATTATTCAGACTTCTCATAAAACTAAATATCAAGTGAGTAATTAAAGTTGGACCAATTTAATTAATGAAAATTAAACATCGTTTTCCGTCAAGTTTCAGCAAAAAATGAATTAAATGCGATATCATGACATTAAAATGATTTATTGGAGTATCTCCTGACCCATAGAATCCGTTAGCTAGACTAAGCCATATAGGTAGGTGTAGACTACCTGGTTGTGGTCTGCATGGTTATCGTAACTAGTAGTTAAACTTTTTGAGTGAAATGGCTCAGAATTGACTGCAACGGTACAGATACATTCACCGTTTACCTTTTCTTAAATCAAAAGTCCCAAAATAATATTAGATTTTCTAAAAAAATTTTCTAGACCCAAACTTTTCCGTTACTACTGATACTATAAATACCCTTTCTGTTATGAGACTTGGCTTGATAATTTCATCTCAATGTGGTAATGTGATAATAACACTTGAACGAATATACATATTTACCAAGTCAAACGTCTTTTATGAGTAACTGATAGAATTAGTTCAGTAATAAAGGACTGAAAAAATTTGGCTTATTTCCTTATTAAGTGATTAATAAAAGTGGAAATATGCTGGTCAACAGTTTCCACCTCTTGTTTATTAAATAGTTGAGATAACTGAACGAAAACATTCTGAATATAATCAGCCTTGTTTAAAATGAATAAATCATTAATACAACAAAGAAATGAGGAGGTAGTTAATTTTACTACAACGGATTAACTTTATGTATTCACTGATTATGGTATTTTTAAATCTTTCTCTATTTCTTATCAGTTTAAAGCACACATATTGTCACTAGTATAAGCCTTAATATGATTATCTTAACCATTTAGTAGTATTATTAATACTAATTTGTTACAGTTTATGTATGAGGAACACCATACATAAGCTTTTAATCAATTTTTATCGTTAGTTATGTAAGAATATGTTTATATGTGTGTGTATGCGTGTAGGAAGAAGAGAAGAACTATTAAAGTAGATGTAAAATAAGCTTAAAGGAGATTGAGCTGTGAAACCAAAGTAAGAAGACTGAAGTTTCAGGCCCTAATAATAATAAGAATATACAGAGTAAAATAATGTTATTTATTATATCACTAATGTGCATCGATTATTTAATACTTCGAAGTTGGATGCTTAAAGATATATTGCAATTGAAAAGCAATTTTTTTAGAATCAGTCAGAAAATTACTGAACGTTATTTAAAGTTTTACGTCTGTTTCACTTTAGTTTGACGATCGACAATATGTACTATCAACTACATTTGTGATCTAACCGGAGGGAATTATGTTTGAAATTAAATAATGAATATTAAAACAACACATGTAAGCGAACAACATTGTTTTCAGTTAGATCGTCATCTGGCTTTTTCTCTCACATACATGACAATTTATATGAAAATGTTAAACCATTCAAGGCAATTTGAGTCAATAATCACAATGAAATAGATTACGTCACTACACATAATAAATAAAAGTACAAGTTGGTAGTAGGAAGACCTGTCTTGTATATTAGAGTACAGCCTTGATGACGATCTAATTGAAATCAATATTATTCGCTTATATGTGTTGTTCTAACCTTAGCTATGGTTAGGAATTTGATCTTTGTTGGTTGGCTTCTCATTCACCTGAGTCACTAGTTTACTTATTCAGGTTCTAATAATTTAACAGTCCTTTTCCAATGATAATTTTGTATTTGCATTACGGGGTTGTGAAGATTGTTAAGTTACACATTTTGAAACCATGAATCGATCAATGTTAGACCACCATTAGAAACCTGGAAGCACTGGATTTTGTATTGGTAAAGACGCTTTTGATTAAATAGCTGGCACTTCACAGCTCATCCCTTTTATTGATGACAAATGTATTATATACAAAAAAATCTCCGTTTTTGTTCTAGACACTGTTAAGTTGAAGCTTTCAATCTCCCTAGAACTGCTTCTGCAAGAAGTCTTGATATTTGTAATCCCACTAGGGGTTTCTTTCATCAGCTTGTTTATTTTATTACTGAAGTGGAAAAGTGTTCTTAAGCACAAGTTGATGGTTTTCAATAAACTTTGAGTTTTTTTTAAAGATTTATATCTCTGGTGAAGAGTGAAGATATTGTCCTACATAAACGTTGGTTTAATTGAGATGTATAAGTCTGTAACACCAAAGGATGCAAGGAATCCCTCTTTATTGATTGAAATGTTATTGATCTTGTCCAAGAACGGTATGGGGAAATTCGATAAAGAGATCTAATGAATTCACAAAGCGCTTCAATGTAACAAGCAACATGTACTGTAATAGGATTCCACAGTTTACAGAGATAAGTTGAGTATCTTAGTATAAATGCCTTGGTTATTTTTCAAGCGCTAAATGAGTTTATTCTTCTTTCGAAATGTAAAATTGGGACACAGGAGGATTTCGCATATCGAGTTAAAGCTCGATCACTTCAAATTTCTTTTATTCACTCTTTCATCTTATTGGAAATTAAACAGTACGTCTGACACTACTAACTGTAAAAAGCTAACGTTGGAATAGCCAATCATCTATAAGGATTCCATTTTCATATACGTATGATTTTTTGAATAAAAGTATAAAAACTCGCCTCATATATTCACCTAATTAAGGTTCTCAGTGACGCGAATTGTAGCGAGTTGTGACATAATTGTAAGGTACTTCTAGGTTATACCAAACCTACTATTTAGATTTTAGGATAAAGGCTTTTTAATTTCTTTACATTCTTAGGCATATTTTAAACATACGATGACGGTGGAAATTTCTTGTTGACTAATTTAATTTTTGATCAGTTACCGAAAAAAAACTGATGAACCCACCAAAATACAACAACGATTCCATCTGCTTCACGTTCAACCAAATTGGATCCTAATGCATTCCGTAGTCTTGTCCAAACAAATGGTGGAGCTCGGACTTGTGGAGGTAAATGATGTTCAAATACATCTCGCAAGACTTCATCATCAAGAGATAATAAATCCACGATTTCCGCTTCACTCATACCACGACGTGAAGCTGTGATGTAGGATATTGCGTGAGAGGTCTGTGTGATAAAGTTACACAATGCATGAAGTCACAACATGGGAAAAAACAATCAAACTTGTAAGTAGTGTTGAGTATTTCTAAGAAGCTTAGTGAAGAAATGATGAACAACGCTTAGTATAGCCTTTATGAAGAAAAAAATAGTCACAAATTTTGAAGGACCGCTGGCAAGAAATTTCTCATTTGATGACCAGAGTACTAAGTATTTCTTCCGGAATCCTATCTTTTTATTAACACTTTCAGTAACCATCTTTAAGTTAGGAAGTAAAAATGGGATTCTTTATTAATGAGTACATTTAAATACTGAGGTATGATTAAATCAATCTACCTTCCTTTGCGGTCCTAAATGACCTTGTTTCTTAAGAATAACGTTCAAAATCCCTAGGTAAGCATGGTAAGAATAACGTATTCAGAATCCTGGGGACTATATTAGGGAATCTGGCTTCCCGTACCATTGTCCCATTCGGAACGAGCACGCTAAAATTAAAACTAATTAGATGGTATTGCTATTTTCTAATTAATACACCAGTCGGCCTTATGGTTTTTGAAAGTTACCAATAAACGGAAGATACCGTTTGTGTCACAAATATTTGAAATCATAGTAATCTAATACTAAATTTAATCGATTATACCACTGATATTTCACAATGAGTGATATAATTATTTGATGAATTTGAATAGTTCGAACACGTATCCTACGCCTGTGTTTGACAATGAACAACACCTACTTAAAATTTGTTAGCTAAATCAAAAGTATTAAATTAAATAAACTGAAAATCAGTCTTATAGTGATTAGGTTGCAAACATTTCATACTTCTGTAGAGTGAATATTTACTACCACTCAATTTACTTTTCCAAAACAAAAGTTTTCCAAGGCTTAAATTGATAATTGGACAATGCCTGCATTGTTCCCTTTTTAACTCTAACGTTACTTCTAATAACATATAATTTTTGACATGTTTACAAACCTATGGATGTTTAGATCATCGGTAATAACAAAAAACGGTTTACTGTTTATCGAATCACTTATATTCAAGAGTTATAGTAAATTTAAACATACATCTTTCAGTCTTTTATTCAAAGATGATTGAAGTTAACTCGAATGAATAAAATAGAATGACATGCGAGTTCCTTGAGAAAGTTTTTGAATAAAGTATATCTACTTGTAAATTCGCTAACAGCTTATGCTTTGAAGAAGATTGGAACATAACGATGTGTAATATTGTGGTGTATACTACTCGCAACATGGATTGCAAGCGGTATGCAGCGGAATGTCGCCCTCAAGTTACTGTTAAACTGAAGAGTGTCGGACTCCAATATTCGCCGCAGTCAGAGTGTTCTGAAGGCTAGAAGACATGTGAAGGCAGTCTACAATCCTTTAGTTTTGCAAATGGAAATTTTAAGCTAATATGCATACATTTTAACTAGTAAACCAGTTTGTTCTAACGAACCTCATCATCTTCGTCCATTAGAACATAAGTATGTTATAACACTCACATAAGAAACAGTCTGATACATGCTCATCATGTTTAATCTCAAATGAAAAGTAAATTATATAAGAGATAAAAAGAAAACACGAAACCAATGAATTATACAGAGAAATATTAATCAATCATGTTATAAAAAAATATATGAAATGGTTCGAAATCCATTATTCTTACCAATAATTTGCCATGTGTATGTTCCAATGATTCAAAAAACTGTACAATTGCTCCTCTAACTGTTAAAGCTAGTTCTAAATTTGGCCATTGTTTAATTGCTAAATCAACTTCTTCTTCTGTACATGGTTTATTGGTATCAATTTGATTATCTTCATTGTTTAAAATATAATTAGGTTGATGCCATGATTTCCATTGAATTACCTTAAATAAACAAACATGTATTAATAACAAAGGAAGTTTGTTGGATTTCATCAATTTGCATCGCTTAATAAACATTAATCTTTAATAGAAGAGGAACTGGTTATGAGTTCCATCCCTGAACATTTAATCGATTCTAACAACTCAACTAATTCAGATATTGACTCTAAGGTGATCGATAGAATTCATCCAAATCTACCAAGAATTTTTCATACAGAGCTTCTTAAAACAACAAAAGCTCTTGGTATCCATTGAACAATGCCTGAACTTTGAGTACAAATGAAGTACATCCTATAAATGTCTTTTTTATCTTGGTCTTAATATCATTCATTTCATTGATTTTTTATTGTAAAATATCTGCCCTCTCTTTTTGATTATCCGTCATAATATCATAATTTTGCTCTCACTTTCTATAGAATTTACACAACTATTGCTATTGCTATTATCTAAATCAAATGACATAACATTAAATCTTTCCATTATATTATCACATTAATTGCTGGTTCATATTTCTACAGAATTCATATGTATTTAGTTGTAGAGCTTGATAACAACTTCGTCACAAAGAGATTCTTTCACTGGATCTTATGTTTTCATACCTGTTTTTTTTAATTTAGTGGTTTAATAGTTATTGACTTTGAGATGAAATTTCTTTAGTTCTAGTGCAAGGTCTTAACTGGAGAATTTCAAGAATATCATAAGGATACAGTCATACAATGGTGACAATCTGTTTATATCACGAATCGGCTAAAGCAGACAATGAGGATCACGTTGTTCTGACTAAAGGGTCTAAACATATGGTTCTAATTGAAAAATTGAAAGACCTAGTGTCGGGTCTCGAGTGAAACAATTAAAGAGTTCGTGATCCCCTCGGTTCCTGATGAATATGATTTTAGTCTATAATAAGAATGAAATTAAATTTCAAATATATTGTCTCTAACAAGTTGCTGGTTTCAAACGCACACTGAATATTCACTTCTTAACTTACATTTATATTTGTGTCAAAAGATAATGGCATCTCATCTCAGCATTTTGACTAGTGAAAATACAAGTTCCACATTATCAAGTGAAATCTTTTTCGAATCTCTGAATGATCCTACTTTAAATTTGCAGGCAAATATAAGTTGTCATTGTTTTGTGTTTTCCATGTCTATTCGAAAATTTTAAAGCTAAATTTATAGCTGGAAAGATACTTTCTTGAAAGCGTTTCCTTAAATTTTTTTGAAAAGTTAGAGCTCAGTGCGCTTTGGATACTGGTGGGTGAAACTTCTTTCATTTTCAAACAATACCAGAAAATATTTCGTACCATTCAAAAAGTATATATATATATATATCTATATATATATATATATATATATCGAACGAAATCCCGTAAATTATTAGTGCTTATGAGTACAAGCAAGATCGATACAGATTATTACAGTTAAGATACCAAACGCATATTCCTTTATCAGGCTAGAAGTCGTTTTTTGACTCAAAATATTAAACGTTTTCAAAGTAGAAAGTATGAGAAAATCAGTTTTGTGAATAATAATGATACAGAGGAAAATTACACCAATACCTTTATTTACATGATGTTGCTTCCTTTTTTTGACTGATGAAGTTCTTCACAGCTCAATTCATTACACATAAAGTGAATGTTAGGCTAATTATCAAATTCATAACATGCGGCTTCGATGATAGTTGATATAGTTAGTTCAAAGTTTATGATGTAATGATTGGTACACAACATGCTTAGTTAGAAAGTCTTACCAGATGAAATTAACACAAAATCCAAGGCACTAATTATCTGTACTTCATAAAATCAACTTTTGTGTATGAAATTCTAGTTTCTTTCAAATTAGAGTGTTAACACTGTTATTAGTCAATAAAAAGGACCACCTCAGAATTCTGACTAATGCACTCTTAAGAAATCTTATAATTACTTTTATAGTGATTTGTGAGGTTGATGAAATCCAACAAGGCATAACACTTCGCCTACATCAACTTAAAATTTTTTGGAGGAGATTTAACGACTGGTTAAGCTTATTTCAATAGAAATCAACTTGAAATTAGTCCGTTTTAAACAAATTTTAATTAATGAGACAATTATTTTTTAATCGCTTGCATGTTTATACTGATAATTGCATCTAAATATTAATTAAAATATGTACAAGTAGTAGATCTAAGTAATTATATTAATAAAAAAACAAATATTAGGAAAACTAACTTACTACACGTTCTACAAGAACAACAAATAATGTTAAATGACAATGTGAAAGTGCTCTTCTAACTAATTTCCATTGAAATGGTTGTAAGCATCTTCCATTCGAGGCTAATCTTGTTTTTAATAATTGTTCACACATACTATCATCAAGTACTTCAACTTCAATGAAATTAGGATAAGTTGTAGAATCTGTAGTATCATTTTCTTGATCATCTGAATTGTGTAAATGTGTTGTAGAAGGTGAAGGGCAATAAGATAGAAAACTGGAACGAAAATTATCTAATATCCCTCCAATATCTGGCAGTGTTGAAATGATTAATTTAACATATCTAGGCAAAGGAACTCTTATCCATCCAAGAAAATATGCTCCATCTGAAGGTTCAAGTTGATCGATTGCATCAAGAAAAACTAATACGTATCTTTGCATATTTGAAAGTTGAACCAATAGATCGTAAAATGTATTAAGAATAGACTGAAAAATAAAGCATTTATACATTATGTATCCCGCAATGATAGATAGTGTTACAATAGTTCTTAAATTATGACAGGAAGTACACTGTAAAGAAACACCAGTATTAGTTGACATATTCTATAGAAATATGATAAGAAACTATTATTTTGAGGGATATATCCTGAAATATTTTTTACAATTTTTAATTAGTCATAGTTATACTTCAGATGTACTCAGAAGTATATAAGCAGTTACATATAAGGAGAAAGGCAAGTTGATGTTTGCGTGCATTCTTTATTGCTATTCAGTAGATATATATATATATATATGCTACCAGATTTATTCTTCCCTAAATTTCATTTAGGTTTATGTTCTGTCTTAAACGTTCAATGAATATAACTTTAGCAGTTAATGTTAATGTTAAAAACGGCGCTAGCTGTTGGTGCTTTTGATAATCATACATCAAGAAGTACATTAATGTACTCATCTTTTCTGACAACGATTATTTTATTAGACGGATCTGATTGACATTTAGCATTGTAATTTGGAAAACGATAGTGTGAGTAAACTAATGCTCCATTGATTAGTTTTAGGTTGTGACTTATGTGACCTGATAAGATGAATATTTACCCATCAAAAATTTATGAACTGATAAGTTTATGATCTATTCGATCTTTTATTCCATTCTATCGTTGTGATAAAGTTAATTTTTATTTATCATAAGTAGTATGATCTTATTTATTTTAGTGATCTCGTGTAAATTGTGAACTCTTGACATTAAGATTACCAAGATAAACTCACAAAAGTTACATTGTTATATTTAGAACAACAGACCACACACATAATTCTTCTTACCTGAAAATCATCTTGTGCTCGAATCGCTTCTGGATCAATAAATGTAAATGTTTCAGAATTACTCATACTTCCAATATTATTGATATTTGCAACAAGTTGTCTGCAAATATATTTTAATGTTTGACGTAATGTTGAAGTACCTGGACTTGTTCCTAAAAAACGTATTATTACAATGACTGAATCACTGGGATTAAATAATGTAGAATGATCTGGTACAAATGTTGAATTTGATTCTTTTTCTTCCAGATTTGTTTTATTACTTTTAATATGCTTTGATCGAATACGAAATTGATTAAAGCTATTAGTATGTTTTATGGAATTGCTAATTTCACTTATCCAATCTCTTGCTGTTACTGCAAGTTTAGCCATAACGGATGTTTTCCCACTACCAGATTGACCATATAATACAAATGGATCTGAAATAAGAAAAGAAAAATCCATTGAAATTTGTGATAGATTCCTGTGTTCACATTAATGGAAATATTCACTTATAGTCAATTGAAGATTAAGTGCTTTGGAGAGTGTAACTAATCAGTCACTAAGGACAGAGATATATTGTCTATAAACAGTTAACCTGCTCATCATTTGTTTCAAGAGGCTGAGTATAGAGAAGAGCAAAGTGGTTTGTAAAAGTGAACCTAAATGTAAAGGATTGAATAATGGAATCCATCTATGTAGACATTATTGATTGCCATAAAATAGATGAGAGGATTTTAGATATTTGAATTACGAATATGTATAATTATTACACCTGCCATTTTATGTAACAATACTAAGAGCCTTTTACATGTTATAACTAAAAGTATATAAATATTCTTCAGCTGTCCCCAAGCATGTAGTCAGCAATACATGAGTAACTCATTAATCATGTACCAAATCGAGTAATTTACTTAAAGCCATAGACTTATGAAATCTCTTTGATAAATCTTTTAGGGAGCCAAACTTTGCATTAGTTTCTCCATGCGACCTATCATTTAAGGAACACATCTCAGAACATTACCTAGTCAAGCCCTTAAAAAGAGAACTCAAGACAATCAGCAGTTCAGTACGGAAACCCCTCAATTCTAGGCATGCTTCCATGCTAGAATCTTCTTTTAGAATAGTCCACACAGTTGAACGAGTGGGATCAAATAGAAACCAAATAAGAAGCTTGTGGACGGCTGAAGCTTAGGAAGTTCGCCTATTGCAGCCTGAACCACGCGTACCAGAGCAGTAAATACAATATCTAATCATTCCATAGTCCAGCACACTTCTAAGTATGTTTTTCCTTGAAAGCATGGACGGCAGCTTACATGTTTTCAATAGTGGTCTAACATAATTTCAAAGAAAGTCGACAATTTCCACAACTTTATACTGACATGTGTGTCATTTCGTTTTTACGGTTCATTTCTTTAATAAATAATCAATTATCATTATTAGGCTCTTAAAATTTTTCACAGGTATTCTTCAAGCATTATTATTGCCTCTAGAGTTTTCATTTCTGCTTCATAACCATCAAATATAAAATTATCTCTTTTATTTCTTACCTGTAAATGATGTTCATTCTATTCTTCGTTCACCTCTAGACAACGACACAACTGTCTTTCGGTACTTGAAATCTACCAGCTACTTATGATGCACTTTGCGACTATAATTTTATCAATAAAATCCCTATAAATGTAACTCTATAGCTGAAGTAAATGATATTGTTGAAAAGAAAAAGTTTTTACTGGACTGCCTTTTTCTTCATTTGTCAAGTAACTTATTAATATACTGAGAATGTATGTTTCCTTTTTAGGACTTACTAGATAGCAGAAATCAGTCAGTGAATAAATGAAGTTACATTCTGTAAATTGAACAATGAGGGGAAAGATACCTTAGTGGATATAATGGTGAAGAGTTCGGAATTCATTCACCTTTTCCAATATAAGAAATATTCATTAACTAAGAGAATGACACTGACAGATTTAATAAAATCTGCAGTCATCTAATGAGCATTCATAGTAAATATTATGACTAAAATATATCAATCGATATAATGACTTTCTTACGAGTAAACAGTCACATAATAAAGGATTGTACACCACTAAATTCTGAGTTCTATCTATAACTTATTTGCGGGATAAATTTTTAATCAAGATACTATAGTGCAATGACATATATTAATTATATTTAGTACATCCCAGTTTATAAATGCAAACATACAAACCGAACTAGTTACATAACATAAATATAACTTTACTAAACCTGTAGAATCGCCTTGAATATAGCGTTTTACAACTTCTAATACATTACTACGACCATGAAATTCTTGAATAAATTCATTACACTGATTTAAATGTTGTAAGACTTCAACGTATAATTCATCATTTTCGAAATTTGACATTTCTGATACTGCTTTATCAATGAGTGAAATTATTTTGGACTCAAAATCCATACCGAATTTTCGTAAATATAACGTGCCTGAAATTTAAAGTAAGAATATATTTCCAATAATATTAAGAAACAAATACTTCGAATTAATCTTTGAATCTTTAAGGAATCTTGATAATCTCATTGATTTTTATAACACATTGAACTAGAAAAAATCTAAACCAGAATGGCGCGTCACATACAGTTGTGTTAGTGTTCCCTCATTTTCAATAGCTGTTTAGTTAATTCCGGTTCTTAATGAAAGTCGCCTTCAGCGAGAACCAACATTTTATTGGTATTGAAGAATATCGTGAGATAGGAGTTAACTAACTATGCAGACTGAAAGCATCGTTAAGGAGATTTTCCACAGAGAAGTCAATCTTAATCTTTCTAGCAGGGGAAATAAGAAGAAAAGCTATAAACTTGATGAAAGTGATAACAGCTAACTATTAGATATCGATTGCAAATGTGTTTAATGCACACATTGGAGAAAAGCATTTTTTATTGAAACAAAAATCAACGATAATCAGTGTAATAAGTAACTGATTTACAGTTGAAATAGGCAGATCGAATATTTGTAATGTAACATAAATTATAATTTAGGTTCATTTAAGCTACTTGTAGTAAAATATGCTAACTCATATAATTCAGCCAGAAGTGTCAGTAGTAAGGAAGTTAAGTAGTCTTGTAATATATATATAGCTCAAATTAAATAATATCAGATACACTTCATACTTGAAAACATGAATTAAAAACGTGTACTCTTCCAAAGACCTGTATAAATATCATAAGTTTGAGCGTATTTAATAAACCATTATAATGTGGGCTACCACATTAATCAGTCCCAGTAAAGTTTTAATCGAGTAATAGTTTGTTTTTAAAAAGTTTGTTTACTGTGTTTTCTAATTATTTAGACTGTTTTAGAAATAAATGCACATCACGTCTATAGACAGCACCAACTACTTGGCGTATCACTGTTTGAGTATCAAAAGGATAATGTCAGTTAACCAATAGCTCAGATTTTGGAAAACGATGTCAATTTCAACCATAATGTCCAAACAAAATAATCTTTCCATTCACCTAAATCATCACACAAAGCGTCGCACAGTAGGCACAAATAAAAATCTTTATTATAATTCCTTTAGCAATCCCTCGATTCTAGCTTGAACTCTAAACAAACATACAAACTGTGAATATTAATCGTCAACCAAGTATGATCCTGTCTTCGTTTTTTTACACAGGATAGCCACTTGCAATTATTCGCTTCTAATGTCGCATAATCAATAACTCGTCACTGTCATCTTTAAGTTTTACTTCATATTCTCCATATTCATCAAACGGAGAATACACTATCCTACTTCACATCTGTAAGCTCATCCAATTTTACTAGTTTTCACTAACCCACAAGTCATTACTCAATCTCTTGATACTGATAAATTCTATTTGTTGAATCGCTCATATAAACGTGTGATAAGATTGTATTTCATGCCTGTCACATTAATTATCTCAACATAAAGTTGTAATTTACGCAGGCAGAAGTACATAAATCAGTACATGAAATGATGAACCAAAAGGTTATGATATGCGAATATACACTTTTTGTGACAAAGATTTATTAATCTTTTAACAAACTTACGTTCTAATCCATCATTTTCAATAACTGACCATGGGATTTCATAATTGCGGATATTATTTTCTCTTAAAATAGCAGCTAAAGTAACATTTCTTAAATCACTTATCTGTTCAAAACGTGTCTCATCTAATGTCCCATTGCGATTTATGTCTAGAAATCTATGAAAAGAAAGTCATGTAAATGTTAGATTTTAGTGTATGATGAAAGTTATTACTAAATTAATGGTACATTCTTAATTATGAAAATAAAAAAGTACACGCATTAAATTAGTAAACTGTTTATAGATGAATGCCCTCAATTTTAAACGAAGGACAATTTTCGGTGCAAGCTTGTTTGCCATCAAGTTACTGCTATGAAGCATTCCCTTCAAGTTTAAAATCACGTTTTTCTCATGTATTTGATTGTTGACAGCTCACAATCACTGTTCAAGTTTTAAGCAAAGTATTATCCCAAGTTATTGATATTATCGTTAAGATAGTGAAATCACTAGGATCTGTGTCAAAAAGGCCCAGCCCCTGTCCACACAGACTTGCCAGACAGATGGGTAAATAAATAAGCCGAAAGAATGTGAACTTAACCTAGATGCAGATGCACAATCAGTCCATTGATACACTAACTGTCAGAATGACTCGACTAGGCAGAATAATCATATTCTGTGACTGAAAACGTTAATATGACTTCAAAAATCAGTGTCAGCGGAACAAACAAATTTATTTTCTATCTAAACTTAAATCTGAAAGCCACTTCTGTTGCTTCCAATACGTACTAGTGTTACATTTCATACATATTCGCTTTATTTGTAGATTGTGGAGTTGACTAAATCATAAGTAAGGGTAACAATCCACGAATGACAGTGAATTACATTCACAATCGACAGATAATTGATACAAGTTGAAAAAGAGAATCACTGAATTTCAAGTCATTATTCAAAACTTTTAAATTCATCATCTGATAATGAATGAAAGTTTTGCAAAATTTATATGTATACAAAACAGCTGCTGAATATCATCGGAATTCCGATAAATATTACTTCAAAATGAAGTATACCTGAGAAATAATATGTTTACATTTAAAAAAAATGATGATTACTTATTTGCTTGTGTACTTTGCAGTACTTCATCAATTTCTTTAATAGTTCTTGTAAATGCTGCACATTTTCGTTTATCTGAATCATCCGCATTCAGTATACCCAATACTATCTCATGTTCGGTAACTAAATAATGAAAAATAAATCACTTTATATAAAATTAAATTTGTAGCTTCATACAAAAACTTCATAAGTAGTAATTATCATTGACTAAGACAACTGGCTTCACTAGATAATCGCATCCACTAACTGGAGAATTTAGATGACTTGAATTAACGGAGTAAATGTGTTCATTTTGCATCTTCATCCTAACTTCCTTACTCATTTCTAAACCTTTTCAATTTTTGACTACATTCAAACCAAATAAATGGAATGGACAAGTGAAATAGATTTCTAACTATAGCAATAAAATACTGAAAGTATGCGTGAAAGTCGTTGTAGCCGAATTTGGAATTTCATAGAATTTCATATATTTTAATGTATCAGTGATTGTGCATTTGTGCATTCAATAGAAACTTAATGCATGCAGCTTACATTCTATTTGATGCACTGTATGTTCTTTAGCCTTTTATCTTCAAAGTATTAAGAATTCCACAAATGGGAAATAGGAAATTTTCAATGTGTTCATAACCTTGCAGAAAATGATCATTTATCAAAAACATTGAAATAAAATAATCCCTATATATGTATTTCATAAAAATCACATGTTTTATGAAATAATGATCTTCATTAAACTGCTATGTAAACAGAAAGTTAATCCTCAAATGTTAAAGTAAAGGGAATATGCAACACTTGAGGATGAAATTTTAGATTTCTGATTTTAAGATGATTGTTGGAAACTGGAGATCTATTTACTAAATGCATCTACTTGTTCTCTATTGAATGTCTTCCTAGTAAAACATATTTCATCTTAAAATCAGTTATAATGATATTAAATTGTCGTTATGAAGCACACTAGTAGAACCAAACTCAAAATAGTCTCGCTTTTGCATCACATTAATAAATGGACACTCAATATTCTATTGATCTGCTCTAAAAGAAAATAATGCATTCAAAACTAAAAATCTGCCTGATCAAATATCATTTGAGAAGGAACGAATTTATCGCAAAAGATAAGTTATTGAGTTTTCACACTAAGTTTGCGAATATATGATCTACGCCACGCTACATGTTACACAGTAAGCGAAGGTGAATGACAGAAAAAACAAACTCACTATGAATAAAAAGTTAATTCTACCTGAGAGAGAGTATTTTAATGCTTCTTGGTTTGATATTAACCCACGTTCAATTAAAACTGGTATTATTTGACTCATGCCAAGCTGCATAGCTTTACGATCCTCATACCACCGTTGTTTGGCATTTTCAACAAACCTACTATCTCCCTAAGCAATAAAAAAGTTAGATATTAGGTTATGGTATCAGGTTATCAATTTGAAGAAAATGAAGCATCATAAAAGCAGAATAGTTCTTTAGAATAAATTAAGATATTTTGGTGATGATTTATTTATTCTTACTTTGATTATATTTCTAAAGTCGTTACAAGTAACCATAAAAAACTATCCAGTGCCTAAAAGTAAATTCAATTACTGATCTAATGAAAAAATAAACTTGCTAATTCTGTGCTTAAAGAAGTAACTGAAGGTACTGGTAAAGTCTAAATGACGTAAACATTCTGCTAGAAAATATCCCGAGTGACCTTGTGAGCAAAATTCATTGTGAAGAAGCTACGTTAATTAACTTCGTTTGGAGTCCTTCTAGGATTACCGATGCCCACTAGCCCGGTTAAAGGAAGAGGGTTGGACATGGAGTCAACAACTTCATCCCATAGAAAACAAACTTTCTAAGTAAGGCTAATCAGAAAACATCTTTTGAATTCTTTCATAAGATCATGCTACAGGAAACCAAATCTTCTACATCTACATCAGAAGAACGTTCGTAAGGACTTTGGACGACGTAAGAAGAAAGAGAGAAGCCAACATGGCTTCAGCTCACCACCTGTTGGTGGCCAAGTTAACACTGAAGCAAAGGAAACACTGGACAATTGACGAAACAGCATCACAAAAGCTCAACACATCTCTTCTACCAGATGCTGACAAATTCTACGACCTCAAGATAAACCTTAGTAACAAGTTACAAGCCTTATAGAATCTACTAAATGAAGAAGCTGCCATTTAGAACAACTGAAAAGAGATCAAAGAAGCAATAAAATAAACATGCCACGAGGTTTCAGGTAACCAAAAACTAAATCATAAGGAATAAACCTCTTTTGATGCGTCGGATAAGATTCGAAAACAATAACAGGAAGACAGCAATCAAACACCAAAGTCACGATTTTCAATACAAACCTCTAAACAGCCCTATTGTATGCAGCGGAACAGATTACGCTGAGAATCGGAGACAGACATGGAAAGATTCTATAGCAGCCGTGTATGACTGGAAAGGAGAGTGGAGAACAGAATTGGTTAGAGAAAGCTGATCGGCAGCCTACGTTTCCTTAGGAGTAACAGACATCTGTAAGTAATGAGCCATATTACGTCTGCAGAAAATGAATCATATCCTCTATTTTAAAATATTGAATTTTATTTTTAAAAGGCTACATAATCTTGTCAGACTTTGAAAGTAAATCGTTTTTTCAAGTATTGTTTGCTTATCTTCCTTAGGATTTTGGTAAAACATGATATATATGTTACCACCAAATTTATACCAATGTTTCGGTAAAAAAAGATCCGCTTACCAATTGGAATGCTTCAACTATTGGCTTCAAATGGTAAGCCTGATTTATATCATTTTTGTCACATAAATACCATTCTTCAAACGCCTCAATACATTTTGAGGATACTCCGCAAATCTTTTTCGACCATTCTTTTATAAGTTCCATCTCAGATGAGTTGACTGTTACTGGAATTTCATATTCGCCATAACGCTGGCCAAGTACAGTCTAAAATTTTTGGTATTTGTTTTCTCTATAATTTAACTCACAATAAAAGTCGGACCAACTGAAAGAAACTTGCAGTGCTCAACTTCATCATAACATGTTTGTGGACCAAGATGATCTAGTTGAGTAACATTCGGCACACCCCAACGCATATCTATGGGCTGCAAAAAATGCATAATTTGGTACGTGTATTTAAAAAGTGTGTCCAGATAATTACAACTTGGTTATCTCTTCTTTGAGGAAGAAACTTATAATGATTTTTGAAACACTAGAATATCAGCATTTTTCTCAATTAGACACTACTAATGTCATCTTATTATTGTAACATAAATCTGAGATCGAAAACATAGTGCAAAATATTCTTCCATCTTTTATCGTATATTTCATTCTTAAGATATTGATGGTACTAAAATTGGAGAAAATAAGCCAAAAGACTTGAAAAAAATTTCGTATGTTGGAAATAGACCGACGCGAAGTTAAAATAAGCACTAAATATATATTACACATTTGTTGTTCATAAACATTCCGTACAAACCCCCTGTAACCAAAATGTTGCTAATAGATCATGCTCAGTCTAGATGAGTTTTAAGTTCTAGTACATTACTTTTGTGCAATAATCTTTTGTGGACAATCCTGGCCAGGCATTTTTCCACTTCATTTCTCCATACATTTTCTTAAAAGTTTTTTCTCATCCAATTTTAGGTTACTGACAAATCCTTTGTCGAAATATTAATCCTGCTAAATTAGTATCGAAAGCTAATCAGCTGTTCAAACTTTCAAACAATTACCGTTTTTTATTAGACATCCAAACTGTAGCTGATAAGAGACATTCTGATTATCATCATTTAGTATACTATTTGTAGACTGAGACTGTAAATGATATATATGTATCAGTGAATATTTCAGATGGATATTCATTATGATGTTAAAGAATGCATAAGACTAAAACCGTAAAAAAAACGCAAACTACTTTCAAGTTCAATAGAAATCTTTCTATAGAAGAAAATTATGCATACGTACGGATTTGCTACCGTACTTTATAAAAATACCTTATAAAATTTCTACTACATCCATGTATTACCAACCAAAAACACATTTTAAGCTCATTGTTAAACTCACATAAAAATCGAAACCATACTTTTCACGACAGTAAACTTTGAGTTTCGGATAAATGTGCTTCATCAAAACGTTTCTCTCCATGTTTAAGTCTTTCATAACATAAAATGTATAAATTTATTGTTCCTACCAGAAAACGTTGAGCTGATGAATATGCGAACGGATTTACTGTTCATTCGTGGCAAATTAGAGAAGTTTCCCGACATAACGAAGTCATAGGAAGATCTCGACTTTCCGAAACCTCTTACTATAACTTTTGACTGTAGTCTTTGCCAAGGTTTTAATTTTGAGGACCTCCTTCGGTTGATAATCTGGTTAGCAATAGTTTCAAAATCCATATTAAAGAATGGATAATTTTATTCAGATATTTTAATTTGCTTTTAGTTAGTGTACTGAAAACTGTAAAAAGTGAAATCCTTTTATTGGATTGAAGATTAAAAGAGAAAGATTATTATATTGTCATGAACTTTTGTCGTTTAAAACAGGCCGAATGTATAGTTGAAAGTTGTTTATATCCTGAAATGATAACTGCTTAATTAGTATTTTGAATATGTGCGGATTTGAATCTTAGCATTTGTATTTATTTTACTGATACTAACAAATAAGCTTCGTGCGTACCACAAATTTGGGAATCTGTTACTCGGCTACTGTTTCTAAGAATCGTGAAGTCAGCAAGCAAACTTTGCTAATAATAGAATTCCTAAAACTGAATGTTGTGAATAGTTCGCGAGAGAAAGTATGTGATTTTGGCAAAGTCAGCTTAAACCTCAAGTCACTGGTGCACTCTGGTATTTATCTATTTGTTTCCATGTGTTTCTAAAAAAAATAAAAATAAGACCGAGATATCGGCTAACTGTTTCATTATTGTATCAGCGACAAGCTTTCACTTTGAATAATGTCACAGGATCATGACCGATTGTATGTTATTTCTGTTTTGTATAGTTTATATTGTTGTGAAAGTAGTAAAAGGTGTTTTCATTTGAAAGGTCCATGTAGCTAAGGATGGCACACCAATCATCTCATGTTATGATTTCTGCATTTAAAAATGACAAGAATAGAAATATCGGAAAATTAGTTCTGTAAACTACTCTGAATCCTACCAATATACGTAAAGCTTTATTGCGAGGGACCACTAAGAAGTTCCTCTGATTCGTTGTACCTCCGTTTTCTCGATACTGTGAGAACCAGTTCAATCCCACGGAAGAAAACTTTCTGAATAGGAAACATCTTTTAAACTATTTGAACTCCGCCCCGGAAGTTGAAGGGTCTTCAATTATAAAAGTTATGATATCTCGAGATGAAAGTCGGGTTTCTTCGGAGGTTACAGGGACGAGGACTATTGTCATAACCAGAGCAACATTTAATACAGTAACATGGAATGCTTGTCTGATATAACAGCGGGAGAACCATTTCAGTCGCTAGAGAAACGAAAAGAAATGATCTGGCGTAGCTTGGAATAAGTAAATCTGATTATACACAAGCTTGATATAAACGAATGTAATTCGGTGCTAGCGCAGAAAAAAATTGTAATGAAGACGACCAAGACAAGATTAATGCGATGCTATATTCAACTATAAATGACCTCAAACAGAAAGGTGTAATCAACTTAAATGCGGATTAGGGGACTGAGGTTGAAATGGGCAACTTTGAAAATAATGATAGAATTAGACAAACTGCAACAGGAAAAAGAGACGCAGTTGTAAGATGCGCGTCGAAATGTTGTAGGGGTTTTCAGCCGTTATTAAACAAAGATCGCGGTCTTAGAAGACATTAGGGTGTAAGTCGTTTTACGTCATATGAGGCAGAATGCACATGACGTGACATTTCGGCTGGTTTAGTTTCAAAACGTTATTCACCGCTCATTCCTCAATGTATGTAAGGTCCATTTGGGGCACAGTCGAATCCTCTTCACTTCTAATGGACTTCCAGATCTTTGCATCGTCCGCGTAAATCAGTGCTGCAGAGCTAACTTTATCTGACAGGTCGTTATTGAATGTCCTCTACCAGCAGGATGTCCAACTGTCTCATGCTGCGAAGATTATTTGCTCACAACCTCCCTTTCTGAAACCCGTGTCCAGCTTCATGGAGGATTTCGTTTTAATCCATGTACTCCTTCATCTGTTCGTTCACTAGCCATTCCACTACTTTCGGTAGTATTGGTAGTAGTGCAACTGGCCTGTAACAGGCTGAGTCCTTCCCACCTCCTCCTTTGAAGATTAGAGAGATAGGAGCTTACTCCCATTCAGCTGGGAGTTGGTGTGACTCTAATGAATGTCAGAACAGTTCACACATCGGTGAAATGAGGGCTTCTACACATTGTTTGAAGACTATTGAGCAGATATTACCACAACCTAGTGACTTTCCTGGACTTAAAGATTTTAGTTTCCTTAGTACTAAGTCAGGAGTAATACGGATATTCCCAAGCGGCATTGGGTTTTTGTAGGACTCTGAACATGTGCATTCCTGGTTTAGCTGATCGGTGAAGTTTGTGTTGGAGAAATCAGCCATTTCTAGGTCGGTGAGATATTGTCCATTCGGACCTTTGAGGGAACAAAAACCCTGGTTCATAGGTTTTTTGTCATGAACCTAAACAGATGGTTGGAGTTTGCCTGTATTTGGACAGCTAGCTTCATCTGAAAGCGTCTCCTGTCACTTTGAACTTTGGTATTGCATCTGTTTTTCAATACCAAGTAAGATTTGCGGTCGGAATCCTTCAAAGAGACCTTCCACTTATGCCCTTAGCAAGCGTTTAGTGCCGTGCCTAGCCCATGTTCTTCTGTTTCCGGATGTGTAGTGTGCCTGAGGTACATTGTCTTGGATAGCATTCTAGATGATATTTCTCACTGTTTGCCAGTGATCATCCACTGATAGCACCCATCAGTCCCGACGTCATAGTGGCATGTAGAACTAGCTTCACTAATTCTAGTCAATTGAAAGTTATTTATGAGTTGGTTTATCCTGTGACTTCAATGGGTGCGTCTGTCTCAAGGAAGCACTGATCTTGGATACTCTCATGATCCCATCGTAGATAAAATTAAAGTGATGAACCATTTATAGTGTACTGATGGTTACCATTGTTAGATCTATATTATTGTATTATATTGTAGTCCCCAAAAAACATTTAGACTTTGAATGATTCGCCTGAAACAGTTGTCTGAGCTTGTCTTCGGACATGACGTAGCACAAAACTGTACTAACAAAAGAACAAAAATGGTGGGACGATTGCAAATCCTTACGTCTTCAGCCAAATAACTATAGGTGGAACCATATTCCCATACAACCACATACTTAAGGCTACATGAATTTCACGAGATCATGCTAAGAAGAACCAAATCGACCCTCATCTGGGTCAGCAAAGGAAAACATGAAACATATATATGATACGACGACGAAGCTTGCTGAAAAGTATCACAAACCAGAACGACCAACAAAAAACAAGGAAGGCTAACCAATCAACGATATTGAAGAACAGAAAAATGGGTGGGTAAATCACTTTGAAGAACTCTTGAACCGACCAGCTCTAATGAACACACCTAACACTGAAGCAGCACCCACGGTCCTCCTAATAACGTTGGCACATCAAAGGCTGAAGAGATCAGTATGGCTATCAGGCAAACTAAGAGCGGTAAATCAACGGGACCAGACAATATTCCAACAGGAAAGGAAATGTGTCAGTAACGGAATAAAAAATCTACAAAGCCCTCAGATAGGTTTAGGATGCAGAACAAGTATCAAAAAACTGAAAAGGACACCTGATCAAGATACTAAAGAAAGGAGATCTCAGCAAGTATGTGAACAACAGAGGCATCACTGTGCTCCAAATATAAGGAAAAGTCTTCAAACAAATATTGTTGAACCGAATGCTAGACTAACTAGACTGCAAACGCCGAGAACTGGAGGCTGGAGCCGGACATAATAACAACCTGAACTAATTTTCTACAAGGAGAAAAGCTTCTCATGCAGCTTTACACGGAGATCTTGGAGCTACATCTTAAACCTAGGGTGAGAGACTTGGTCGAACCCTTTGGTCAAATCTATGTATATCAAAGTGATGAGCGGATAGCCTTAATGCGCTCTGCAGTTTCTGTGCTCGTTAGTGGTCAGTTAGTTAGATGAGGACTCTTTATAAAGAACGCGTTGTCCGGAAGTCCAAACAAGTGTATATCAACTCCGGTTAGCTAATTATCCCGAATAATCTTCTACCCACTTCAACTACTCAACAACCGGGGCTTAAAGGCCAGTCTTTAAACGCTAGCTGTCTTTGCTCGTTTTGCAAGGTGAAGCCAAGAATTTTATCCTTCACCTCCCTTGGGATCGGGTTTTCAAAGAAAGAAATATCAAACACCCTTGAGTAGTTGTGCAAGAGCATTTATGTGAGACTTTATAAAAAGAAGCGCAACTTACCAGGCGCCTGTAAATTGCCGAATTTTAAACCTATAAGTATTCTAATAATGGCTGCCTGAGTGTCAAGTATCGTCACAGTCCTTCGTGTATCAGAAGTATAGCTACAAGAAGTAACTATAATGTCCTCCAAAAGTGGGCTTGTTTTAAGTGGTTTGATGAATTTTCGTCTCCGGTAACGTCTGGATAAACTGGCAATACCATAATAAGGGGCTTCTATCACTTTAGTTTGCTATGTTTAAGCACCAAAACAGTCACTTTGAACATACAAATGCATCATATTTTACTAGTTACTTTAAATTGATGAGGGACATGGCTATAGTGCTTTGCATGTTTCTGACCTTAGGGCTTGGGCTTTGTTACTTCCTCTTTCAGATAACCTCAAAACCTGCTCTTAACACTCCCGCAGCACAAAAGATACTTCCTGTATAAACAAAAACTTACCAAAGGCTGAAGTCATAGTACTAGTCCGTGAAAAAATTGGAAATTGGAGCACTAAACTCAAGGTCAATATGTTCTCCTACTCGAAAACGTGACTGTGCCACAGATCGGGTTAGTTGGTGGTCTGTAGTTGATTTAAGAAGTTTGTTTGTTTTTGAGACTCTAATAAACACACCCTAGTACAACACTATACCAGACTTGGATATGTCAGTTGACCTAAGTATTCGGAATTTATTATTTGTGTCAAATGCAGTCGGCATCGAAAGTGGAAAGCATTTCTCGTAACTTCCATACTATATCGTATTCACTTCATGGTTAAACAACTGGCATACGTCTACGAATTTTAAACATCTGTAAAACTGAGTAGTGTGGTAAACTGAGTCTTATATAGGGTACAAACTTTGTGTCACCTTATTGTGTTACGCTCAAAAATCGAAGAGCAACTATTCTGGATTCAAATACTTCGGCTCTGTGTTGTACACAAGCCGGTTTTATGATATTTAACATTCTCGTTTATTAAAATGTCTGTTCTAGTGATGTTTAAGAAATTCATGTGGGTCACATGCGGAAGCCCACAACAGTATTTCAGGGAGGGATTTCGATAAAATGGCATTCTAAAATTGCACCTAAATTTTGAAAAACTGTAATCTTTAGCAGCACTGTCCTCAGGTTTAGAAATTAGTCCTTTTCAGTAGCTGAGATTTTCTTGTGAGGTTTATTTTCCCTTAAATTTAAGATATGCATGGCAGTCAGTCTGGTACAACGTAGAACTTGGTATGTACATACATCATTTCAAGTTGCCATACCGCAACTCATATCCCTTAATAGTATAGGCAGTGGGAGTTTTAGCAATAATGGAAAAAATTAAGTTTCAAAGAAGTATAACCCAGTGAAATAAATTTTAAATAGGGAAAGATAAAGTTGACGAGAAATTCAGGAGACTAGGATTTGAGAGAACACAAAGAGTGGATACACCTGTGTCATTGCCAACGATTTCGAACCATTTGACACCAGAAATAAATGGAAATGTTTTGCACACTAGTTCTTGTATAATTTACCTGTATATTATTAGTGAAGTTTGTGAATGCTAACCTTTGTAGTGTCGGATGCCAATTGACTATTAACTTGTTATTTACATTATCATAAAATTAGTCGTCTGTGACTAACAGGTATAACCAGTAATTAATCATCCTTAAGATTCGATTACATTTCATAGACCTTGGGAAAAACTATGTTTTGTATAGTACTCACATTTCAATCAACCACCAAATCATGTATGTTATGGAGTTTCGCAATATCATCGAAAACACCAGATTCTTTTATCGGATTTCAAATTGCTATTTGATGCTTAAGTATCTCAAATGTTACTGTTTTTATATTTCGCTCTCTTTGTTCGTCTCATTTCTTCAGAGGTTACTCATGATTAGAGAGTGACTGCTTCCCTGAGTTCACTAATATGTTGACGTCATCATCGATATGATAAAAAAACCAATAAAATACAATGCAAATCCAGCTTACTGCAAACAATGCTATGGCTTATGTAATATTTTACATCTTGTTTTGCTGTTGTCCACATAGTTATGGATTTCGCTCTTTGTGTTCTCTCAAATCCTAGACTTTATAATTCATCACTTTACCTTTTTAAGTCTTTTTCCCTAGATTCTACTTCTTGAATAATATCTTCTAATCCTAACCTCTCCGACTACTGCTAATACCTTTACTACCTCTACTACTATTGGATTTGAATTGACAATTACATCTCTGTGCTAATGTGGTATGGCAGATTGAACTGGTGTACTTCCGTACGAAGTCCTGCCTTGCAACTGACTTACTGAAATATCTCTCCTACCCAACACTATTGTCTGCTTTTCTTTTGTAGTTGCTTTCGTGAAAACAAGATCCCATTGACACCTTTATATACATGATTATTAGTTTCGGTCACTAAGTAAACAAACCACATTTTATATTACGTACTTATTTGCTGCGGTAACGCTGGGGAAAATGCTTTAGAAACTCAAGTATAGAATTATTGCTACGCTGTGGAAGAGAATTGCTGGTCTGTAAAATTAATTCTGGTTTATTCGACAGAAATATTTCAGGACTGCACACTTATCATATCTAAATCCACATTTATAAATTTAGTCCAGTTTACACCGACTAGTGTTTCTAAGAGACGGTTTATAGGTTTTTGGTGCACAACTAACTTTATTTATTTCCTTCTCGGATAACAATGTACCATGATCCAGATTAGCGCTGTTTCACTTGATTAGGCCAGAATTAATACATAACAGTCGTTAGCTGTGTGTAGTTATCTAAAGGAAAAATATCGTGTAGCTGTAATCTAATACAAGTTTGTATTGGTTTGTACCAAATGAGCGGTCAGTTGATATCAGTTTCCTTCCTACTAACAAGTTCTTTAATTAAGTCTTTCCCAAAGACAAAATTTGATCGCCAGTTTCAGTAGTGTAAATAACAGTAAACATCTTTGATGTAGACCAAATGCACGGTTCATGCTGTACGCTTGCATACTTTTTGATCCCGACATTTAATTTCTCGTTCGGATGTTGTTTGCCTTTGTGAGTTTGAAAGTATCAAATTTTATCAGCATCATGTTTCTATTGTCGTGTATCTTTCAGTCCTCTAACATGAAAAACAAACGAAAACATCTATTAAACCCAAAGCATGAGAGAACTTTGGCTGAACCACAAATTTGTGCAAGTAATTCAGATGACGTCGGTAGGTTTGTCCATATTGTTTTCATGGGTCAGATGCAACCAAACAAGTTCTAACAGCTATGTGGGACTTTGAACAATGTGATCCAAAACGCTGCTCGGGTCGCAAATTGGTTCGTTTGGGATTGACGAAATGCTTACGGTTAAATGAAAGCTTTGGAGGTATTGTTCTTACACCTACTGCCACTTGTGTCTTATCTCCTGACACCGACCGTCAGCTGATGTATAGTGGTGGCATTGCTGTAGTTGATTGCTCTTGGGCTCAGTTGGACCAGACTGGATTTAAAAAGGTGAGGTTATACGGGCCCGACCTCTTATTATTTTCTAATGTTGGAAATGGATAACCAAAATATAGATAAATGATTTCTGGTATTCTTAGTAGGACCAATCAAAACCGTAGTCTTGTTTATAATGAATATCAACTGTTATAACTATTCAGCATGTTTAAACAATAGGCACTAGTTAATCTCACAGTTTTAGCTCATCAAATCTATTTGTTCAAACAATTTTAGTTCACTTCTCTAGCTTGCTTTGTCAGTTACTTCATGCACTGGTCACTGATAGTTGTAGTGTATACCAATATGTCGAATCCACATCTTTTGACCCAGCCTTTGGAAAAATTCATCAATTCATTCTTTTTGAGTTATTCAAACGTCTTCTGACCTTTTCAATCATTTGTTCATAACCTTGGCTGTTTGTATTTGAGTAGGTATGTGCATGTCTAGCTCATTTCAGTTTAACTATAAATACTTAGTCATGTCTCATCAATTGAGTTGGTTCACTTGTCTTCTCCGCTTCTCTTTTATGCTCCCCGTTCTCATATCTGTAAGCTTAGCGAGTGTAGGAAATAAATTCAACCAATAAACCGTACTGGGCTTTTAATTACCGTTGTCACACAAACGGAATTAGCCGAAATATGATATATGGAAAATCAAATGGAAGATTTATTTCATAGAAAATTTAGTTGTCCCTGCAAATTGGAGTCAGACCCCGGGCCACTAAAGGTCTTATTGCCTGTTGGTTAAAACCTGCTTATTTGTTTCATATGAACTGTATTTTTCATATTTAGATCTCAGTTGATTTCAGTACTATTTCATATTCTGTGCTATTGATTTCCACACTAAGCTAATGTGAAGCACGAAAACTTGAACTATTGTAAACTTAAGCTAGGTTCTATGTACACGTCTGATTACGTTGAAGTCTGCTCTATTTGCATGGATTTTGGTAGTCAATAAGTACATGAATACGTACTCCGTATATGAATTACAGTGAAATTTGTAACATATTGTGTGTAAAAGCGTCGAAACACTATTTGGTAAATATTAACTAAAAATCTGAAGACGTTTTTTATGAACACGTCGAATGAGGAGGACAGGGTCATGTACTTTCTATCAGCAGTTAACCTGCTACAGATCAGGTGAAACAAGTCATCCTCAAGTCACCTAGTTGATTGGTAATAATTAAGTATATAATATTGCAACGACTATCTACCTATGAAATGAGTTAAATATGAGCGATGTTTTACGTGTAAGAAGTGTAAGTAACACAGAATACATATCAGGTACAGAAGCACCGTGTAATGAATAATATTTTTCTAAAATCTGTCAGTAATCTCACAATCTTCATCTTTTATTAATATTGTAAATTTGTGAATATAATTGAGCAACAATTCTGATTCCAATATTAGGAATCCATTTAATAAAATACCTTTTTAGTGCATTTTGATGGTCAAGATATAATTTTGTAGCGCTAACTGATGAGAATGACTGTTCTGTATTAATGTGTAGTGTTCTTTAAAGGAAGATAAAAAACACAGAAGCTTAAAAAATATGAAAAATGTGTCTTTGTCAATCACAAAAGTTGCGAGTGTACAGTATGAGTGATTTCTGTGAGAACAAACTGATTCATTGTGATAAGTTTTGCAAGTTTTTTTGAGGGATCTCAATATTTCCAGTAGGTTCAAATATACATGCACCTAGTTCAACTCCTTTTTAGCCTTTTGTCTTTTACTAAGTTCCATAATCATTCAGAAATCTTGCTTTCAAATACCACTGAATATTAATTCATGGGTACTTAGCGTAAATTCAAAAGTGCGAATTTTTATGTCAATGAGCTGCTGAGTGTAAATACAATCCGTACTTAATAGGGAGCTGCTAGTTTTCAGAAGAATATGAGTAAACAAGTAAATGTCTACAATATACTATGAAACTATGAGCATTACTATAATAATTTCAAGTAGGATTTTTCGTAGAAGTCTTTCTGTTTCATTTTTAAAAAATGTTGCAGATAAATAAGCTAATTTCGATATAAGTTTCATATAAACAGTTAAATCCAACTGTCGGTCAATACAAAACTGAACATTTCAACCGCTAAACAGTCACTGCAAACGAACTCTATTACTATCCCTTATTTCTGAACGAAATGAATTCGTTTCTTAAAAACAGAAGCTTGACTAAATTGATTGTTTTAATATTCTCTGTATTCAAGTAATTATATTCTGCTTCTTAGTCATTTTTCTTTCGTTTAATATATGGCTTACTATAATCATTTTATCCTTTATTGTATAGTTGAAATTTCATCATGGACGTTTACTTCCACTTTTGATTGCATCTAATCCAGTGAAATATGGCAAACCATTTCAGTTATCATGCGTCGAAGCTTTAGCTGCAAGTCTTTATATTCTTGGTGAACAAAATCAAGCAACTGAATTGTTGGATAAGTTTTCTTGGGGTCATCAGTTTTTAACATTAAATGACCATCGATTACAATCTTACGCAAGATGTTCCACTGGTAAAGAAATACTTGACTTTCAAAAAGGTTTTCTGGAACAAATAACTCGTGTAGATAGTTCAAATACAGGTAAGTATTCACGTATTCTAAACCCAGTGAACATCGTTTTTAGAATCATATGCTGATGTTTACGCTGAACTAGATAATCAAATGTTATCTGATTCCTCAAGGTTTGTTTATCCATTACTTTCATTTATTTCAGCTTACACAGTTCTCAGTGCTCTATTCCATCAGAGGATTCTACGGAACAGGAAACACAAACCAGCTCATTAAGTACGTTTAAATATTATTCACAAAACTAAGTAACTCCATTTTTGCTCATGAAGAACGTGTCAATAGAATTTTATATTGGATGGGTTTTTTATACATTTTACTCATGGGTCTGTATGTTCAATGTAAGAGGCTAGATGAATACAATATTTTTGAGAGATTTTCAATCATATGGTTGTATATAATAGGTAAGATACCACCAATCTTAGTTTACTTCTTTATACCTGTTACCCCTAGTGGAGCATAGTCTGCGGATCAGCATTCTCCAACCACCTCTGTTCTGTACTCTCCTTTCCAGTCACACCCAGCAGCTGTCCATTTTTTCTGTCTATCTCCAATTCTCAGCGTAATCTGTCCTTTGACTTGAGGATTGCAAGTTAGTGCTTGCTTTTTGATGCACTTGCGCACTTTCCTCAATATTTGTTCCATTCACCTCCAATGCTTCTTCCTGATCGTTTCTTCAGCTGGGATCTGGTTTATTCTCTCCCACAGTAAGTAGTTGCTGATAGTGTTTTGCGAGCAGATACGCAGTATCTTGTGTAAACAACTGTTAATAAACACCTCTGTCTTGTGGATGATGGCCTTCGTGGTTCTGCAGGTTTCCACTGCATACAATAGAGGTGTTTTGAGGTTTGTATTGAAAATTGGGACTTCGATGTTTGATTGCTGTCTTTCTGTTATTTTTTTTCGAATCTTATCCGACGCATCAAAAGAGGTCCATTCCTTATGATTTAGTTTCTGGTTACCTGAAACCTCGTGACATGTTTAACTTATTGCTTCTTTGATCTCCTTTCATTTGTTCTAAATGGCAGCTTCTTCTTCATTCAGTAGATTGTATAAGGCTTGTAACTTGTTACTAAGGTTTATCTTGAAGTCGTAGAATTTTTCAGTATCTCGTAAAAAAGCTTATTAGTAGAATAATTAAATAGGCAGTCGTTAATAACGACGTAATTTATCTTCAAAATTCACGGGAATAAGAAGTACAAATAACATCCGTTAAATAATAAGTTTATTAATCATACTGTTTCTGTCTTTGTCTCTTCGTCGATATTATTCTCATTGTACAAAAGTTTTTTTTTATAGCAGTGCTCGAACTAAACTCAACAGCATTAGTTTTCTGAGCAACTAATAAGTATTTTTGAAAAAATCTATACTTTAATTTGTTTTTATGTTGTTATTTCAACTGAATCATTATTTTTTTCGACTATCTAAATAAAACTTTCATTCTTTTATGCAAATATCACAGCCAGTAATAATTGTGACCAACATGATTCTACTGTAATTGAAAATGAAGAAATAAACAAAGTCATCAACAAACAAGTTGATACATTAATTAGTCCATTTCAACGAACCAAACTTTTCACAGAATGTGGTAAAAATTGGGATCGCTTTTACAAGCGTAATGGTTGTCGATTTTTCAAGGTTTTTACAATTTGTTATATTTTTGATTTTAATATATGTGATGATGTTAAGAATATAATTCGGTATATATATATATATATATATATATATATATATATATAATATGGTCTGTCAAAGTATCAATTAATGTGAAAATCACACAAATAGCAAGCTTTTCTCTTTCTAAATTTATTTCACTGAGTTATACTTCTTGAATAATATCTTCTAACCCTAATCTTCTCCATAACCAGTAATACTCCTACTATCTCTGCCACTATGGGATTTGAACTGACAATCTTGTCTCTGTACTAATGTGGTATGCCAACATATACTGATGTACGTACGTACGTACGAAGTTCAGTGTTGTAACTGATGACTGACCACAATGTCCGAAAATCGACAATATATGTTCTGATCTCGTGCTCAGAAAATTAGTACTACAGTTGACCATTTATGTCAAGCTGTGTCTGTCCTTTGCCTTGGAGGTGAACGACATGTGTCCCTAAAGTTTTGAAAACACCTACGAAGTAAAATTGTGACAGCAATTAGCGAAGCATCGACATCCACATCTAATAGTCTGTATAATTCACTACATATGGAATATTCGCAGGAAAACACACGCTTGTTGATGATGGTATTGTCGGCTACTGCCGGTTCTTTTTCATTCCGCATACACTTGACGTAAAAGTTATTCTCCTTACGATTGCTAACCCATTCAATGAAATAAAAAATAGTTCTGTTCTCATAAAGTACTGGTTGTCTGAAGAAGTCTTCTTCATCCAGATATCCAACGTCATCAAATATCTCTGAAAACATATTCTCCGCCTCGCTGTTTGACATAGACACACAAAATGACACTACTGTGATAATAAGAATTGTAAATTAGCACTCGATCGAAGTTTCAGTTTTTATTCATCAGAAAGTAGGCAGTTAGTTGAAACTGCATCTCTGCTTGGTCTGAGAGTAAGAGAGAAGAAAGCACACCACAATACAATTTCACACTCTTAAAAATTTAGTTCCCACAGACTACATATCATTCCAGAGTTAATAACCACACAGTGTCTTACTGCTTGGTTTTACATCTCTGATCGTTTGAATAAGAACTAAACACTAAAATACTTGTAAATGTTAATCTTCGTTTCACTATAGTCAATTTAAGCCTCCTACTTCTTTGATTTTTGTTTTTCTTATAATCAACACTTATAAATTGGTTGTTATGAATAAAGTTCAAATATATGAAAGAATAAAAGTTTTCATACACTCACTAAAATTATCATTGGTTTTAAATAGTCTGTTTCACTCTTTCATTCAGGCCACCGGTTGTATCATCACAGTTCATTTATGTTGATGCAATATCCAATTTATACGATAATTGTGCAGGTATTTTATATTTTGCAATATTCTCACCGAACGTCCTTTTTTTGTTTTCCAATTTAAAAGGATCGTCATTGGACAACGCGCGAATTTACAGAATTATCATCTTTAAATGACAGAACTCCACGATCTCTTCTTGAAGTTGGCTGTGGAGTTGGCAACTTCCTAGTCCCTTTAATTGAAAGTATGCTTTCCAATTCACAAGAAGATATCAATGTTTCAGAGCAATCTGATTGCGTTTCGAAAGCAAATGGTTAGTAATCAATATTCTACATTTGATACGATATTGAAACAGTAATTATACTTTTGCGATTGACACTTGTTCCTAAATAATCTGTTCAAGTAAATTAGGTTATAAAATATGTTCCAAACTTGACAATTCTCTTTTTATTGAGAATCTATTTTGTTTGATTTCCCTAGATTTGAAACATGTGTATTAAATGATCAACATTAAGTCTTCCAAGTGATCAATTACTTATTTTTCCTACTACTAACAAAATATTGCGAATTCTAAATAATTTAAAATCTTACAGAGTATGCCGGTACGCCAACTAAAACATCATATTTCAGTCAAAACAACCACAAAGGAATAATCCAAACCACATCAAATTGAGTTAAAATTTGATAGTTGTATCCGTCAAACGATACTTTCATACTTAATATATTCTAAAAGGTTGTTAACTAATTTAATATATCACTATTCTTACTCAATGTATTTCATACTGTATTATTTCACTGTCATATCTGTCGACTTCTAAGTTTTACTTGTAACGGTAAACTAACCAATAGTCTTCCTATAAAGTCCATCAGTGACAGTGATTTGGTCTTTCTCTACTTTCGTTTGTGTCATTATAAAATCAATCAATCAATAGCAACGTAGAACTTCGTACGTACGTACATCAGTTCATGTTGTCATACCACATGAGCACAGAGATGTAATTTTCAATTCAAATCCCATAGTATCAGAGGTAGTAAAGGTATTAGTAACAGTCGAAGAGTTTAGGATTAGAAGATATTATTCAAGAAGTAGAAAGTAGTGAAAAAGACTTAAAAAGATAAAGGTAAAGTGATGAGGAATTAAAAAGTTTAGGATTTGAGAGAACACAAAGAAATGAATGCACCTGCGCCATTGCAAACGGTTTTGAGCCATGTCATTCAGGGTCTCTAACCATCGATTACTAACATCTCATTATAAAATATGAATTACCAAGTTAGATTCCTCATATTTTGACAGAATCGTAATTTTCAATTGGATGAAGATGAAACTTTTACGATCAATTATCCTGACTTTGCACAGCTTTCCTCCATACTTCGGTGCAGAAAGTCCCTATCCTATTTTACGAGTTCTATTGATCTAGAACATTCTTGTCATTCCATGCATATATAGATACTTATTACAAACTTATTGTGCAAGGAAATTCAGGGTTGTGTTGTACTTCAAGTAAAAAAATTTGGTTTGAAATTTTTATGTCATTGAATGGCGGCTTACATTTTACTGAGACTTATTGTATCAAATGATTAGTGCTATGTTTGCCACCTTTTTATTTATCTGTGGAATGCTTAACTTACTTGTGCTTAGTACTGAATTTATTTGACTCCGTAAAAAAATTCATATCACCAGGCTTTGTGTTCTTGCTATGCGTCAACGATTCCGTAGTTTTAGTACCGAGCACAAGTTAATCAAGCATTTCATAGACCTGAAAATGTGCAATATACCTGCTCAATAGTTGGTTTTACCGTTGAAAGTTGTGCATCTCGTTGTAACTTATTTCATTGTCACTTATTTGCACACAGTTACGTATGGCTAACCACCGACTGCCCCGACGAGCTATGTTTTGTGGTGTAGGAGTAGGTTGGAAGAAATCTAGGGGCGGCCAGACCAAAACATGGCACAAATCCATGAAGTCACTGACAAGTGGACTGAGTCATGTTGGTAGATGTAGACTACCTGGTTGGGGTCCGCGAGACGAAAGTCATCAATGGTTGGAGACCTTGAACGACATGGCTCAAAATCGTTTGCAATGGCGCAGGTGCATCCACTCTTTGAGCTCTCTCAAATCCTAATCTTCTGGATTCGTCAATACCTCTCCCTTTGTCTTTATAATCTTATCTCACTGAATTATATTTTTTGAATAATATCTTAAACCCTAGTCTTCTTTATTATAACATTAATACCTCTACTATCTTTATCACTATGGGATTTGATTTGACATTTGCGTCTCTGTGCTAATAATGTGGTATGGCAACATGAACTTATGTACATACGTACGAAGTTCTACGTTGCAACTGACTGAACTGACTGACTATTTGCACACAGACTTAATAGCAATGGTCATTTGTTTAATAGAGACTTAAGCCTAAATCTACTCATAGATGCAACAGAATATCATTTCTACCTTAGTATGTGTATTAAGTTTTTATTTGGAGAATAACAAGAAAGTACTTTATTAGTAATTGTTGTCCAAGAATATCTTTGAAAGGAAATGTAATCATTGATCAGGATGTGTTAAACATCACTTATGATTTAGTAGTTCACTTCTTAGAAATGTAATGTTAATTGAATATAAATTATATTCTCAACATTAAACTTTTCCAACTAAAATAATTTTATAAGAAATATGGTATGAAAGTAATTTAATGTATATCATCCATTTGGTACCAATAAATGATTTTGCCTCGTGTAAAATCTTGATATGAACTCAAAGATTCTGATAGTTTTCTAGTTAGTCTGCTTGTTATATATTCAGTATGTTCAATTTAATAAAATCTTATATTTTTATTTTCAATAGAAATTTCGAGCATATATGCTTGTGACATTTCACAACGTGCTGTGGACATACTGAACGAACGTATCAAATTATTTCCAGTTAAATGTAATGCCTTTGTTTGTGATGTAGCGAAACCTCATTCTCTAAAAGCTGTTCTATCTTCTTTGAATTCAGTTAGTGATCAGGAATTCAACACTGCTGAACATGGTGTTGATCTGGTAACGTTAATTTTTGTTCTGTCTGCACTAAACCCACAAGAAATGTTGACATGTCTTTCCAATGTAGCAAGGTTAGTTTTTAGGACTGTTCTTAAATAAAATCACTTTCTAATTAGTGTTGACAAGACAGGTCCTATTAAGTATTCTCATTTACGTTTTTTGGTCTGTTTGTAATTTTAATTTTATATAATTTAGCAGTTTATACGGTTTTCTGCAACGGGACTTGTCTGAATTCTTGTTTTTCATGTACGTCCCAGTAAATCGGTGACCATTGAAGTACTCATTTTCTTGATTGATAGTCGCTAAAGTCCTTTGTTCTCTTCAAATCAGTTGGTCTGGCATGAGGTCTTAACAATATTCTGACATACCTGCATTCATCATTGCTAGAATCGATAGTTACGTTTTAGAACTTAACTCTTTCATCAATTGCACATCTTATATGATATGAAACGCAGTCTGTTTCAAAATGGACATGTTTCTAGTACTCAATTTTAGCATGAAACAGTGCATTGCAATCATCTTTACAAACACACCTGCAAACATGACTAGCATACACTAAAGATTTTTAATATATATCGCGATAGTCTGATTATATTGTTCACAATGGTTATTTTCCTGCCCTTTAAATTTTTAATCAGCGTTCTTTCGCCTGGCGGACGACTTCTGTTTCGTGATTATGGTCAATACGACCATGCTCAATTAAGATTTGGTAGAGGAACTCGTTTGTATGCTGACCGACCCTCATATGTTAGACAAGATGGAACATTGTCCTACTTTTTTACAAAAGCTGAACTAACTGACTTATTCTCAAATGCTGGTCTATCTGTACATCGCCTTCATTTCATTCATAAAGAAACAAGAAACACAGCTAAAGGTCTGTGTGTCCGGCGTGTTTTTCTACAGGCTGTTTGTGAAAAACCTATTTCTTAAAATTTTATTTGAAGATAATGACACCTACTTGTATTACTTATTTTGTGCGAAACTATCACTTTGTAAATAAATTTTTTTGTAAATAGATAGAAAAGTTTATATTCTGGAATTCTCACTTTTATCTTACAACTTTATTTTCATTAAAATATCGAAGTAAAGTGGTCAGTTATTTAGGAACTTATTTCTGTTATTTCTAATGTAAGTCGATGTGAAATATCCATATCTATAATATCCATCATTCCTTAACAAAAAATCTCGCCAGATTTATCTTCTGAATGACGAGATTGTTATTCTTTTAAAGCCAGTATTTTGACTAATCACTGCTAGTAAGTTAACATTCTTAACTACTTATCGGATTTAGTAGCTCAGTTTGATTTATTGTTACTTTGGTCAGTAGTTCTGTTTAGAATGTTCATATTTTAAATTTGTTGCTTTTTGAGGGTTAAAAACACGCTGATTCTTTTAATTAGAGTCCTTGTTAGCTGAAACAAAAATTCAACCATCAACAATATGATTTCTACAAAACCTCACTGTAACTGGCACCGAATTCCAACTTCAGATTGTTGCGAATCACATTCACAATTCTAAATTTTCACTCGGTATTCATTGTGAAAAACTGGTTTTTGAATTTCCGCCCCAGATAGAGACTTGGGACAGTACATGTATGATAAGATATGCGAGTACCTATGACAAGAACTGTTCGAAAATGTCTATTAAGGATTTTCTAGGCATGTAGAGTTTCTCAAAATTATTCCATTGCCTTATCTCACTACGTTCTTTTGCCTTCATGAGTTCCACTAAACTGTTGGTTTTGATTCAGAGATATGTATCAAAGAACACTTAGGAATTTTGCTGCTCTTAGCACTACTAGATTCTACGTCGATTCGATACTAAGTGGGTTATCTTTTTTACCTCTCACTGAACAATTTGAGATGATTTTTCACCTAAGTAGTCGCTTCATTTAATAAGTTTGCAAATCAGTTTGAGGGTAGATTGTTAAATAGTACATTTGAGGGTAAATATCTCTGGATTAGTTGTATATATTTCTTTAAGTAGGTGTCCTTTGTAAGACGGGACTTAGTGTATTCTCATATAGGGGAAACCACCACCCTAAAGACGACAGTATGTGTACGACCCATACAATATCACGGATGATGTTGGACTGTGTGACTGTAACCTGACAGTTCATTTCAACTGAGTATCGTACACCTTTTTTTATTTTGGTATACAACAAGCAGTATGTCGGTAGTAGCTGGACTGAAAACTAATAACAGAACAATCCAACTTATCCATTTCCTATTGCCTCGTGTTTCAAGAGTATCTGGGGGATTGGGTTTTCTGCACCAACGTAAGAAAAGTGAACGGAGTTGTCCTTCCTAAAATGATTTTTGTTATTCATGTTTACAGACACCCCCCCCCCATGGATCTTGACGCCACCCAAATAGATAGTATAAATTCAGTTACACTTAATTTTGGATAGATAAGGTAAAGTCAGTATCCGGTTAACGGAAGTAAACTTGCAGTAATATAGATGACCCAGTCTACTTGGTTTAGATGGGCCTTTTATTTCCTAGTCTAGCACAACGTTTGTTACACCAACTTACGAGTCTACAGACAGGCCCAACTTGACCTGGAAGTCCGATTGTATTTATTGTCTAGTATAATTAAGGAAGAGACAAAAGCTTATCTAAAGAGTCTATTTAACAGAGGAGACCGAAGAATTTTGGCACAGTTAAGATGTCTCGTCTGTCGATACATCACTCCACCTTGTCATCGTTAACCTTGTTGATTTTCCGCTGATTAATTAACATTCACTGATCAGTCCGCCGCTGAATTGGTATACGGCACGACATTGCGTCTGCCTGGGGAATTTTTCACGTCACGGAGCAGTGATAACTTAAATAAATCAGACCACGTCCAACGATTGTCTGCATTTATGCGAGCACTGCCTCTGGTGTCAACTCGAGTACAACATCGACAGATCGCTCTCCCCCGAGAGTGATTTGCCTGCTCACATGTTTCCATTCGAGTCGATTCGGCACGCAAACCTCTACAACAACCTTACGAAGGACCTTCTCACGTGATTTCTCGTCACGAGAAGACCTTCAAGGTTGCTCGAAATGGCCGCGTCGAGATAGTCAGCATTGATCGTCTCAAGCCAGCACACGTCGATGACAGTGCCCTACCTGCTGATCCGAGACCCAATGTTAGACCTAGCGGGATCCCTAAAGCTACCCCGGATCCCACGCTAGCGAAATCAGAGACCTCATTCTCACGTCCCAGTCAGCAGCACGCACCATCTGCACTATCTACGGATGAGACTCCGGTCTCACGTCCAGATCGGCAGACCACGCCGCACTTGACCGCGGATGAGATTGCAGGCTCACAAGGTACGCACGAGGCTATTGTCTCGCGTTCCGGTCGCCGCGTACGCCTACCTGTACGCTTTCTCGAATGACTACCAATCCTCCACAGGTGCGGCATATGATTTTCCCATCATAATACATGCATGCTACATTTTTTCCCTTTGCTTTGATTTTTTTTATCCCGAGCCTATACCTCCGACCAATACCCTGTTGGTACCGTCGACTTCAGTTAACCTTGGCGAAAGCTGGCTCTAGTCAATGCACTAAGTCGGTGTTCTGGTTACAAATATATCTCGTATACGAATGGTTTCGCACTGGTCGTTTCTAGCTCCTTCGCTCAATCTGGTTCCGTCCTACGTCTGCAGCTGAATCTGGTCCGGACTCCTACGAACGCAATCATCAGACTCTGGATACGAGCCACGCTGGTGTGGCATGCCAACCCAACAGACGAACATGGCACGTAATTGTTGACACGGCAGCGGACAAACTCCCGGTGACAACTCGATCTTCATCAGTCGCTTCCTGTCGTCAACCTTTCTGCCCTACAACCAAGTTTCGGGCGACAAGCCTCCTGAACGCAGCCGCTACGTATGGAAAGTGTGAACCCTTTCTAGAGGGGAGGCTCCTGTAGTGGAACTACTTTGTGAAGAAAACATGATTACTGACATATAAATACTCATTATTGAACGTGTGTAACAATAACTGTTTTATTGTACATCTTTTGTTTATCTGTACTTGAAGTCATTATTCGAGCGCCACCTACACCAACCTTGTGGACTTATTGATCGTTGTTTGCAACGCGCAATTAATTTTGGATATTTTCGCCACAACGCAACCAAACTCGGTGAGTCTGTCAATTTTCTATCCATTTGTCATAATATTTATTCTGTTGCTATAATTTTTCATACTTATATATATATATATATAATAAACTAGCAACAGCGACTTAATCATAAGTAACAATGGACAGTTTCAAAAGCAACGATATCACGACAGACTCCCAGATCCAGGTCCTCAATTTTCGACCTGTTTCCTTTATTCCCCACGATCCAGAGGTCTGGTTCGCGACACTGGAAACTCAGTTTGAGATCCGTCGCATTACGAACCAGCGGCTAATGTTCGCCTATGCCCTGGAATATTTACCTGGGGATCATATAGCTGCTGTCCGTGAGGTCGTCCTCAATCCTAATGCTCTAGATGCCTATAATCTGGCCACAGTTCCTTTACTATATCCGAGTTGGGTGCTGTCGGTCCTGCTAAAGATTGCGGGCGCGTGAGGCGGTGGCTAGGTTTAGCATCACCCATAGGGTGACGTGCTAAAAGCGTCCTCAAACGTTCCTCCTTCGATGGGAGGAAATGCTGGAGAATCGCCTGCTTGAGGCGATTATAGGCATCTGGAGCATTAGGATTGAGAACGACCTCACGGACAGCAGCTATATGATCCCCAGGTAAATATTCCAGGGCATAGGCGAACATTAGCCGCTGGTTCGTAATGCGACGGATCTCAAACTGAGTTTCCAGTGCCGCGAACCAGACCTCTGGATCGTGGGGAATAAAGGAAACAGGTCGAAAATTGAGGACCTGGATCTGGGAGTCTGTCGTGATATCGTTGCTTTTGAAACTGTCCATTGTTACTTATGATTAAGTCGCTGTTGCTAGTTTATTATATATATATATATATAAGTATGAAAAATTATAGCAACAGAATAAATATTATGACAAATGGATAGAAAATTGACAGACTCACCGAGTTTGGTTGCGTTGTGGCGAAAATATCCAAAATTAATTGCGCGTTGCAAACAACGATCAATAAGTCCACAAGGTTGGTGTAGGTGGCGCTCGAATAATGACTTCAAGTACAGATAAACAAAAGATGTACAATAAAACAGTTATTGTTACACACGTTCAATAATGAGTATTTATATGTCAGTAATCATGTTTTCTTCACAAAGTAGTTCCACTACAGGAGCCTCCCCTCTAGAAAGGGTTCACACTTTCCATACGTAGCGGCTGCGTTCAGGAGGCTTGTCGCCCGAAACTTGGTTGTAGGGCAGAAAGGTTGACGACAGGAAGTGACTGATGAAGATCGAGTTGTCACCGGGACTTTTTCCGCTTCCGTGCTCGAGCAGCATACCCGGGACGTTACTACTGGTACAGTTCAACGTAGAAGACTATCGGTGACAACTCGAGCTTCATTCGTCGCTTCCTTTTCGTCAACCCCTCCGCACTACAATCAAATTTTGACCGACCAGACACTCCCCCGAACGCAGTCGCTATGTATCGAAAGCGTGAACTCTTTCTAGGCGGGGGCTGCTGAAGTGGGACGCTTCTACGAAGAAAATACGAGTTTTGAGAAATAAAAATTATTGTACTCGTTTTTTTTTAACTGTACCAAAGACACTTCTACGACTTCTTGCGCGCGACGTTCTCTTCGCGTTGCTGCCTATTCTCTATTTGCTGTTCCCCATGTAATGCCAACGTTCTCCTTCAATAAACAACCCAACCATGGATTTATTTTGTTTTGCTATGAATAACGGCGGGATATTATGGGACATTTAGTGGTGAGGGTAGTCAATCTGGTTTCTTGACTCGCTCACCACAGGTCTTCAGCAAAATATTTGCAATTAGGCAATA